TTAGCAGGCCAGCCTAAATGTTTCTAACCGGCGAAGATGTTCCATTAGGTGGGTGCACGTTTCGCAAGCGTAGATAAGGGAGGGAATGACCGTGGCCGAGAAGACGTGGAGCTTCATGTGGAGAGAGAGACCAGGTAGCTTCCACACAGTGTAACATAGCCGATGAAAAGATAATGGCGCTCCACTGATTTGGAGTGAGACTTCTGCTGTTAAACCGGAACCGGTCATGAGCACACTGGGCAGGTATGGGAATCTCTGCAATCTCTGCACAACTGCCGCATCACCAATTGTGAGTAGTGGGGGTGGATTGTCCGATGGTGCAAAATACCCAGGCAGGTGCTTAGTTTTGGTGGGGCTGATGGTAAGGCCCCACTCTTAGTGACAAGCTCCAGGTTCAGCAGCAGTGCCTCCAACTCCTCCTGAGTGAGCAGCAATCACCAGAGCATCGGCATACATTACATGGTTGAGCAATAGGGAGCCATCCCTTGACTGCACCATTGATCAGCCTCCCATTATATCTGTACCAGATATAGAGTTGCACATAGCAACTCTGGTTCATTGCTTACTATTAAGAAACTAATAAGTTGGCAGATATTACAATAAGTTTTGTTGTGCAGATGACAACTCACCTTCATTGTTTACTATTATTAAACAAGTTGACAAATATTACAATAATAATCTTTGTGTGCACATGGGAACTCTGCTTCAATGCTTACTATTAAGAAACTAATACGTTGGCAGATATTAAAAAAATGTTTGTGTGCAGATAACAACTCAGGTTCATTGTTTACTATTATGAAACTTATAAGTTGCCACATTACAAGAATGTTTGTGTGCAGATAAGAACTCAGGTTAATTGTTTACTATTATGAAACTATTACGTTGCCAGTTATTACAATAATAATGTTTGTGCAAAAAACAGTTTCCATTATTAGCTTGATAAATATTCACTTTTTTAGCTGTGCTTTTATCACGCTGCGACGGTCTGCTGCCAGTCTGTCATGTGGCCTGCTGCCTGCTGATTAATTAACGTCAGTGCACTCGCAATCTATTATCTACACTGCTAATTTTACTTTTTACCATTCTCAGTGTATGCCAGTCTATAATCTGTTGCCTGCTTCTTTACCTCACTCAGTGTACTGCCAGGCTTTCATGTCGACTGTATTCTGCTTTTTCAGCTGCTGCCTGTATTGGCAGCTTTTTATGTTGACTGTAGCAATGCTTATGTCATTGAGTCGGCGTACTGGCAGTCAATAATCTAAACTGTAGCCTGCTTCTCAACTTACCTGTGCGTACTGCTGCTCTTTAATTTACACTTATTTCTGCTTATTTCTTCAATGCATTTCCATTGTTTCCATTGCTCATGTCACGCTATTTACTCATACGGAGTACTGCGATACTGATAGCTGTGCCTTGATCAGGGATTGCTGTGCACGTCCATGTGTGTGTGTGAGTCGATGTGTGTGCGTGTCAGTCCATTTGTGTGCGTATCAGTCGCTGTGTGTGTGTTAGCCCATGTGTGTGTGTTAGTCGATGTGTGTGCATGGCTCCATCTGAGTGTGTAAGTCAATGTGCGTTTGTCTGTCTATGTGTGTCAGTCGATGTGTGTGTGTGTACGTCAATGTGTATGTGTGTAAGTCCATACATGTGGGTGTAACTCGATGTGTGTGTGTATAAGTTAATGCGTGTGTTTGCGTCGATATGTGTGTGTGTTTGAGTCCATAGGTGTGTGCGTGTAGGTCCATGTGTGTCTTTTTCGAACGGACAACGCCCAATGTGTGTGTGTACGTCCAGGTGTTTGTGTGTGTGTGTCAGTCCAAGTGTGCGTGTCAGTCCATTTGTGTGCATATCAGTCACTGTGTGTGTGTTAGTCCATGTGTGTGTGTTAGTCCATGTGTGTGCATGGCTCCATCTGAGTGTGGAAGTCAATGTGCGTTTGTGTCTATGGGTTTCAGTCGATGTGTGTGTGTTAGTCCACGTGTGTGTAAGTCCATATGTGTGTGTGTAAGTCAATGTGTGAGTCGATATGTGTGTGTTAATCCATGTGTGTGTATTTAAAGTAGATGTCTGTGTGTCACAGTCCGTATATGTGTGTAGGGCAATGTATGTGTCAGTCTATGTGTGTGTAACTCCATGTGTGTGCATCTAAAGTGGATGCCTATGCGTGTGTGAGTCCATATGTGTGTGTAAGTCCATGTGTTTGTGTGTGCGAGTCAATATGTCTGTGTGTGTCAGTCCATGGGCGTGTGTGTTAGTCGCTTTGCGTGCGTGGCTCCATGTGAGTCAGTGTAAGTCCATTCTCTCATCAAAACTTTATACCATAGGGCTCATTGCATTTCGGACCAACACCACCTGACCAGTGAATTAAAACATGTACACCTGGCCCTCAAAAGGAATGGTTACTCTGACCGTACCATCCGCCAAGCTGTCTCTCCCTCCATACAGAAACAACCACTTGATACTCCGGTCAAAACCATCACACTTCCATATATAGCAGGCGTTACTAAAAAGATTTCCAAAATTCTAAACAAACACAAGATCCAGGTCCGGTTCAATACAGTACACAAAATTCGTGATCTGATCCCATCCGTGAAGGATGTCATTCCTGATTTACAGTACCCCGGGGTTTACAAATTGAGTTGTACCTGCGGTTATTGCTACATCGGTGAGACAAAGCGACATGTCTCTGACCGAATTCGCGAGCACAAATCAGATTTGAAACACGGCAAAACGAATTCTTCTGCCGTAGCTGATCACTGTTACAACGCTGTGGGGGATCACGATATAATTTTTTCCGATACCAAGGTTCTTTGCAAACCCACGGGCTTTTATCAGAGATTTGTTCATGAAGCAATTCAGATCTACAAACACAGACACAATTTCAACCGAGAGGATGGTTTCAAATTAAGCAACCATTGGAAAGATGTTCTAAATCGAACTAAACATTAAACTAATTTCAATGGTACAGTATATTTTTCGAGAAGTGGTACCCCAAACTTTTGCAGCTCTTATAAATTCCCATTTTCACACCATCAATAGGTAAAATCCCCCTCCCCCCTTTCCCCCCCCCCCCCCTCGCCAAACTGCAAGTCCACCGGCACGTACACCACCTCTTTGCTCGCACACAGGTCCGATGTCTGAGCGTGGTTGTGTTTAGCTAAATTCTCCTGTTTGATGAGTACTAGGTGCCTCGGTGAATGTATATACTCTGACTTTAACATAGCTATTTCTGTGACCAGTTACTAGCTAACCACTCAGCTATTTAAATGCTAAATTCTATGCTAATTCCTTCGTCAAGGGGCACCTCTGCGGATATGTATACTTTAACTTAGCTATTTCAATGAGCCATTTCAATGCTAAATTATATGCTAATTCCTTTGTCAAAGCCCGTGGTCTTCTTCTTCTTCTCACACAGCTTAAATGTCGTGATCTAAGCGTGGCTTCTTCCACTCCAGCGCTGTCCTCCAGACAGGCTCGTCCCTTCACCTGATGAAGGCCGCTTGTGTTGTGGCCGAAACGTCGTGATTATTGTTGTTTTATTATTTACCTACGTGACTTTACCGAATAGAACCAAAGAGTATAACTCTGATAATGTATGCACTGTCCTTGAAATTGATGGGTCCACACCCGAGACAGCTTTCTTTAGAGCCTCGTCTCACATGGTGTTGGACCAAAAGACGCCAAAAGGCGCACAACTCAAAGGCAATGCACCATCAGAGTATGAGAGCTCGGGGGAAGCATTTACACCATTGGAAACCTCATTTGCCAGTAACAAAATATGATAATTGGTTTTTTACCCTTTTATCTGGCAACAAAACTGACACATTTTTTACAAGGAGTCATGTTTAAATTGACCACAATACCTGTGGTCGGAACGCAAACAAAAAACAACAGCACTTATAATTGTATGCACTGTCCTTGAAATTGATTGCTCCACACTCGAGACAGCTTTCTTTAGAGCCTCGTCTCACATGGTGTTGGACCAGAAGACGCCAAAAGGCGCACAACTCAAAGGCAATGCACCATCAGAGTATGAGAGCTCGGGGTAACCATTTACACCATGGAAACCTCATTTGCCAGTAACAAAATATGATAATTGGTTTTTTACCCTTTATCTGGCACAAACAGCAATGCACCATCAGAGTATGAGAGCTCGGGGTAACCATTTACACCATGGAAACCTCATTTGCCAGTAACAAAATATGATAATTGGTTTTTTACCCTTTTATCTGGCAACAAAACTGACACCTTTTTTACAAGGAGTCATGTTTACATTGACCACAATACCTGCGGTCGGGACGCAAACAAAAAACAACTCTGATAATGTATGCACTGTCCTTGAAATTGATTGCTCCACACCCGAGACAGCTTTCTTTAGAGCCTCGTCTCACATGGTGTTGGACCAGAAGACGCCAAATGGCGCACAACCCAAAGGCAATGCACCATCAGAGTATGAGAGCTCGGGGGAAGCATTTACACCATTGGAAACCTCATTTGCCAGTAACAAAATATGATAATTGTTTTTTTACCCTTTTATCTGGCAACAAAACTGACTCTTTGGTTCTATTCGGTAAAGTCATGTAGGTAAAAATAAAACAACAAAAATCACGACGTTTCGGCCACAACACAAGCGGCCTTCATCAGGTGAAGGGATCAGGCTGTCTCGAGGACAGCGCTGGAGTGAAACACAGCCACGCTCAGACCGCGGACCTTTAAGCTGTGTGCGAGGAAACAAGGTGCCTTGACAAAGGAATTAGCATTTGATTGGCCGACTTAGCATAGAGGTGGTGTACGTGCAGGTAGACTTGCCGTTTGGTGCAGGGGGGGGAGCGGGAGTTTACCTATTGATGGTGTTCTCTCTCGTCGATCCCTCTCTACCCCTGGTTCCCTGTCCACCCTTCTAACTCTACCCGTTCCCACAGTGACCCCGCTTTCGTCACGGGGTTCCCCTTAAATACTAGAGGAGACATGACGTCATAGAGCCGCCCAGCGCGCATGACGACACGTTCTGTGACGTCATCGCACTGGACGGCATACATGACGTCACGTTCCCATTTTACTCCTCTACACATGTACTTCCAATATTCGCATATCGAGGCACCATCAGTCAAGTTCGGTTCCACAGCGTTCCACATTAGGAATCGATAAGCTAGAAATCGACGATTCTATGTCCGAGATCGCGATTCTACGTCCGAGGTAATCGAATCGAACCAATTTCCGTGAAGACTGCAGCAAATGGTTGACATGACGTTTGAAGAGACGGCGGGCAGCAGCGGCCGAAGCAGGAAGGGGGACTACGGACTCCTCCAAAGGGCCGAGATTACGTGCAACTATCTGCACAGCAACTCGTGAGTCGCGGGGAGTGTTGGGCTAGGAAAGTCTATGTGTGTGTAACTCCATGTGTGTGCATCTAAAGTGGATGTCTATGCGTGTGTGAGTCCATATGTGTGTGTAAGTCCATGTGTTTGTGTGTGCGAGTCAATATGTCTGTGTGTGTCAGTCCATGGGCGTGTGTGTTAGTCGCTTTGCGTGCGTGGCTCCATGTGAGTCAGTGTAAGTCCATTTCTTTGCGTGTCTGTACGTCCATGTGTGAGTGAATGTGTGTGCTTTATTGACCTGGTCAAGGCCTATGATACCATCAGTAGGCCTGGCCTCTGGGTTGTACTTCATGCTTTTGGAGTCCCTCCCCTTTGCTCACGATCCTTAAGGACCTTCATGATGGTGAGCGGCCCCGCGTCAAACTACGTGGCCGTCACTCAGAGCCATTCCCTCTACACCTTGGGGTGTGACAGGGATGTCCTCTGGCTCCCACATTTTTAAACATATCTTTTGACCACATAGTTCGTGAAGCCTTCAATGGCTGTACCGGAATAATTACCACATGGTACAGATACAATGGGAGGCTGATCAATGCCCGGGTGCAGTCAAGGGATGGCTCCCTATTGCTCTACCATGTAATTTATGCCGATGCTCTGGTGATTGCTGCTCACTCAGGAGGAGTTGGAGGCACTGCTGCTGAACCTGGAGCTTGTCACTAAGAGTGGGGCCTTACCATCAGCCCCACCAAAACTAAGCACCTGCCTGGGTATTTTGCACCATCGGACAATCCACCCCCACTTCTCACAATTGGTGATGCGGCAGTTGTGCAGAGATTGCAGAGATTCCTATACCTGCCCAGTGTGCTCATGACCGGTTCCGGTTTAGCAGCAGAAGTCTCACTCCAAATTAGTGGAGCGCCTTTATCTTTTCATCGGCTACGTTACACTGTGTGGAAGATACCTGGTCTCTCTCTCACATGAAGCTCCACGTCTTCTCGGCCACGATCATTCCCTCCCTTATCTACGCTTGCGAAACGTGCACCCCCCTAATGGAACATCTTCGCCGGTTAGACATATTTAGGCTGGCCTGCTAACAATCCATCCTGGGTTTAACCATATGTGTGTGTGCGTCTAAGTCGATGTGTTTCTATGTGTGTGGGCCGATGTCTGTGTGTAAGTCCATGTGTGTGTCTGCCTTTTTCGCCCGGGCAACGCCGGGTACTTACCGCTAGTTATTGTAATATTTGTCAACTTATTTGTTTAATTATAGTGAACAATGAACGTGAGTTCTTAGCGTAAGAAGCAAGGAAATGTGTACTTAACATAGGCTTGGTCAGGCCTAGGCCCGTGCGGAGCCCCCGTCCTGGCCTAAATTGCAGAGGCAGGGGAGGTGGCACGTTGGCAGGCTGGGCCACTACCCCCACAGCCATCCCCCCGCCCCTGCAAGAATAATGGTATCTCAGCAGTATAAAATTATTATCTACGGACTCTGTTGTAGAAAATGGACGCATCGTGTTGGGGGGGGGGGCGAAGAGGACATGAGACAGTGAAGAAAAATCCGCAGCATGATGTGTATATTTCTTGCATGTTCAACTCGTAAAATAAAATTTCTCCCGTGAGCTGGAGCGAACGCGCATCACTTGGCAGGGTCCACCCCCCCCAGGCAATTCTCGTCAGTTGGTACGGTCGATGTCACACAATAAGTCAATAATTAAAATAAGAATGCCACAATTTGTTTAAAGTTTAGGGATGAGAAAACAGAATAGCCTATTCCCACCCCGGGGCGTAGGGCGTGCTGCCTGGCGAATTTTTAACTACATAAAGCCCACCGTCCGAGAGCCAAATCCCTCGCAAGCACGCACGCTCGGAGACTTTTATATATAAGATAGCCCTGTGAGCCATTCGGCTTTTGAATCGGGTGCAACCGCAACAAACAAAAACATGAACAAGTAAACAGAAAATCCAGGAAAAAAAACATCAAAATATTCCTGAAATAGCACCGTACACCAACGCTGTGTGCAAAAATCCCAGTGGGATGCAAGTCAAACAACAACCACAAGACAACTAAGATTAAGGCCATCAGTCTAACCCCGTACTACAATAAACAAAAACATGGCCAAACCAACAAAAACGTTTTCGAAATAAAAATAAAAGCCGTAAATGCAAATATAGTGTACTGTGCATTCACAAGTCAACATCAGTAGTCTTAACTACTGGATAAGGGCCTCCCTAAGCAGTATCCTGTCATAAGGGTTGTTGACCATACTTCACACACTGGTACAACGTAATGCACACACATCCAGTAGTGGATTTACAGTTGATAATGTAAGTCTCATTTGTCAATCCACTGCTGGATGAAGCCTCCCCAAGCCGTGTATGTATTGTAGTTTGACCATACTTTACTTTTGTGGTCAGTGCGGATTGGTAAAGGTCAGGGCATTCGCATTGGTTCACATCACACACCACTTGTATGACCTGTCAAATTCCAATGGCTGTGAAACACATTGCGCTAACTGCCGTTAGTTGATTGCTCCGCTGACTCATGCACACTCTGTGTGCTCATATCTCTGTGCTAGAACCACCCACGAGTTTCTGTTTGGAGCCATGGCCGAGATGGTGGACAATGCGAGGTACGTTGCTCACTGCGCACTCTGGTTGTGCTCGGAAAACATGGCCATGCTCCCGTCGGTAATTCTGATGCATGTGGCCTTGCAAAGGAACACATTTAACGGGCAACTTTCCAGGCTTATTCTCCTGCTACTTATGTGTTTGTGTGTGAAAGTGAGTGCGTTCGCTCGTCTGTGTGTGCGCGCGCATGCCCCCGTGTGTGTGGGGGGGGGGGCATCTCCCTCCTCAGTGTGCCGGGAAATGTCCTGGCAAGGATTATTAAACATTGCCTTGCGAGGCACACTGAGGAGCTTGCGGAGCCCCAATGTGGTTTCAGGAAAGGGCGGTCCTGCACAGATGGCATAATTTATATCCGTCTAACTACAGCAGAGGTATAGGGAATTCCAACAGGACCTGCATCTCTGCTTATTGACCTGGTCAGGGCCAATGCTACCATCAGTAGGCCTGGACTCGGGGTTTTTCTTCGTGCTTTCAGAGTCCCTGACTCTGCTCACAGTCATAAAGACCTTCATGATGGTGAGCAGGCCCAGGAAAAACTACGTGGCCGGGAGTCTGAGCCATTCCCTGTTCACCTTAGGGTGCGACAGGGATGTCCTCTGGCTCCCACATTTAACATCTATTTCAGACACTTAGTTTGTGAAGCCTTCGATGGCTGTACCGGAGGAATTTCCATCTGGTACAGATACAATGAGAGGCTGATCGATGCCCAGGTGCAGTCAAGGGATGGATGGCTCCCTATTGGTCAACCATGTTATGTATGCCGATGATCTAGTGATTGCTGCTCAATCAGAGTAGGAATTGGAGGTGCTGCTGCTGAACCTGGAGTGTGCCACTCAGAGGTGGGGCCGTACCATCAGCCCCACCAAAACTAAGCACCTGTCTGGGTATTTTGTGCCATCAGACACTCCACCCCCACAACTCCCAAGTTCGATTCCCGCTCACGATCATTACTCGTGACGATGATCTGAATGGGTCCTGGGCCTCCCCTCGATCGACTCAATTGAGTACCTGGTGCAGTGTGTAAACATCGCCATGCTGGCCTTCATAGGCGCTGTTCTGCTCACTAACAGCACTTGTCCTAACGGCCTGTTAAGGCTATAAGGGGATCGTTATCGACGGTGTGTCTGTGCGCGCGTGCATCTCCGCGTGCCCGCATCTGTGCATGCCTCTGTGTGTGTGTGCCTGCGTGTGTATGTGCATGCGAGTGCCCCTGTGTGTGTGTGTGCATTTGTGGTGACTCATTGTCCCCCTTCCGATAATAAAACTAGAATCAGGACTGAAGGTAAGTGAAAATAAAACATAATTTTTTTTCTATTTATGTTACTTAATTTTGTGTTTTACTATACAGTATTTTTTACGGTGTTGCATACAAATGTATAATATTTCTCATTTTGAGTTTTATCAATGCTTCCCTTCTTTGTTGAACCGCAACACATTTCAAAACATTGACCGTATGGGCATTTAAATACAGTACATTTTTGTGTTCTGACTTACGAATGGGTCTCAGGAACGAATGATGTTCGTAAGTCGAGGACTGCCCTATGTATGTATGTTGAGCTTTCGCACCATACGTAGCCCACCGTGCAAATCGGAGGTACGGGGGAAGGACAACAAACTAAACACAAAGCATTTCTAAAGAAATAAGGGTGTATGGTGAGTGTGGTGTGTATGGGGTATATGATGTGGGTAGAAGTGTTACTGCGATTAATTACGACCTTGTTAATGTCTTTGTTAATGTCTAGGTCGTCTGGGGACATAGTCATGTAATGTAGAAAAAAGTTTAGTTGGAGACATATCAATATAATACATAATGGGCTGTGTATACGATATTATACAATGTATTCTTGGTTGTTTCGGTAAAGTCACGTAGAAGGGAAACAATAAAATAAAAATATAAAACAATAAAATTCTCATATTCTTAGTTTTTTCGGTAAAGTCACGTTGAAGAGAAACAACAAAATAACAAAATATATATAAAACAATAAAAAAAAAATTCTCACGACGTTTCGACCATAACTCAAACGGTCATCATCAGGTGTGTCGGTTTGCATAAATTTATTTCGAAAACGGCATATTTATTTATTTATATATATATAAAAATAACGCTTGCGTCACGCGCAACGATTGGCAGTTTGCCCAGGACTAGTCCATCTATTTTTTGAAAAGAGGAGGGGGGAGACGAAATTTGTTTTTATGTATGCTGTCTGAAAGCCACTGTAAGCGTGAACAATCAATCAAGAACTGAAATGATTTATCAAATCTTTCCAATGATTGCTAAGATAGAATCCATCTTCTCGGTTGAAATTGTCTCTGTGTTTGTATATGTGGATAGCCTCATGAACGAATCTCTCATGGAAGCCAGATGGCTTACAAAGAACCTCCGTCTTGGAGAAGTCAATGTCATGTGAGCCTACTGAATTATAACAATGATCTGCTACGGCCGAGGTGTTGGTCCTACCGTGTTTAAGGTCTGCTTTATGTTCACGAATGCGGTCCGAGATATGGCGTTTGGTTTCTCCAATGTAACTACTACCACAGAGGCAACTTAGTTTGTAGGCACCAGGGTATTGTATGTCTGGAATCACATCTTTTACAGACGGAACCAGATTACGGATTTTATGTAATGTGTTGAAACGGACCTGGATCTTGTGTTTATTCAAGATTTTGGAGATCTTTTTTGTGATCCCAGCAATGTAGGGTAAAGTGATGGTTTTGAAAGGCTCCTCAAGAGGGTTCTTCTTCATGGTTTGAGTGATAGCTTTGCGGATTGTATAGTCGGAGTAACCATTAGCCCTAAGAGCTTGGTGTACGTGCTTGAGTTCACTGCTTATGTGTTCCTGGTCGGATATGCATTGGGCTCTATGATACAGAGTCTTGATGAGAGAATTCTTCTGTGATGGATGGTGGTGGGAATCCGGTTTCAGATAAGCATCCGTATGGGTAGCTTTCCTGTAGACAGAGTGGCTCAATGAACCATCAGGTCTCTTTTTAATTAGGACATCCAAAAAAGGTATCTTGCCATCTATTTCGACTTTTATATATATTTTGTTATTTTGTTGTTTTTCTTCAACGTGACTTTACCGAAAAAACTAAGAATATGAATTACTGCAGTCACGAAAGCTTTAAATCAAAAAATAAAATTCTCACGAAGTTTCGACTGCAACACAAGCAATCATCATCAGGTGTGGAAACCACAACAAGAAAATTTGAAAATCTTGTGGTTTTCACACCTGATGATGATTGCTTGTGTTGCAGTCGAAACGTCTTGAGAATTTTATTGTTTTATATTTTTATTATTTTGTTTCCCTTCTATGTGACTTTACCGAAAGAACCAAGAATATGAATCCCTGCAGTCACGAAAGCTTTAAATCAAGATTATACAATGTAGTTTAGATTGGAGGGTATAACATTGTAATGTATAGTAGTCTAGTTTATAGCATAGTTGTAACGCAACACAGGACAGAGCAGCGCATCGTGGCTGTTTCTCTCGCCCCTCCTCCGTTCCGAGCATAGATGGACTCGTCCGTCTGAACAAAGCTCGTTGCTTTCCGTGGTGCTAACGTTGAAAAGAAAAACGAAACCGCCACTTTTTTGGACATAGAATTGTAATGTATAATGACTTATTGTTAGTAGCTCAGCTGATTGGAGAGTATATTGAGTTTATTGATAACATTGATGTAGTTTATTTTTTTAGTTTTTTATCAGTTTACTATATGGTATTCATTATATAGTGTAGTGTATACCCAGTTACTTTATGTTAATAGCTCAACTTATTGAAGAATATATTGAGTACATTTATTATATTGATGTAGTTTATACTTAGTTCTTTCACATCGGCTTATTATATGATAGTTGGGTAGTTGCAGTTCTTTAGCGTCAATATACTACATGCCTCTGTTGATATGTAAACTCTGACTTTAACATAGCTACTTCTGTGACCAGTTACATGCTAATCCCTCACACTAACATCATGCTAATTTCCCAGTTACATGCTAATTTCTGACTTTAACATCCTGCTAATCCAACACATTAACACAGCTACTTCAATGCTAAATTCTTCTGTTGATATGTAAATTCCTTTGTCAAGGCGCTCTGCTCCTCCCACCCAGCTTAAAAGACGCTGCCAAGCTTAGCAGCGTTAATTGAAGCGCTGTCGTCCCGACAGTTCTGTTACTTCACCTGAAGAAGGCTACTTGTGTTGTGGCCGAAACGTCGTGAGAATTTTATTTTATTATGTTTTATTTTTATTATTGTATTTGCATTCTACGTGACTTTACCGAAAGAACCAAGAAGATGAATCCCTGCAGTCACGAAAGCTTTAAATCGAAACTCTAAACGCTTCCTTATAAATTTGTGCGGTGAGCCATCAACCCTCGCCGCTGCCTCCACAGTGCTGGATCACAGGCAGCCACCTGCAGCACAGCCACCACTGCCTGGCTGGGCTATCTGATATCTCACACTTTGGGCTCATTGCCTGAAACGTCACCTATTGCATATGTTTATCTTTTTTGTGCAGTGTGCATGGGGCTACTCATATTGGAACATGGTTGAGCTTTGGTTATTTGTGCCTATGCACCACTTACAAGCGCAGTCTCGCAAACACATAGTAGACTCTTGATTATCCGCGCTAATAACGGGGAGGATGGCCGTGGATTAATAGAAAATGGCGGATAATACAAAAAAATCTATATTCCACGGATCTATTTGCCAAAAAACACTAATATAAGTGTAGTGACATAGAATCGGTCACTTAGCATAGCGCTGGCTGCTGGCAGGGAAGATAATCTACAGCTACAGCAGCCCTGACTGACAGCAGGTCACGTGATAGACCAGAGAGGGATGTAGGGGAAAGGTTACGGAAGGGGCACATCGAGAACCTGCTAGTAGGTTCCAGAAGGGGGGCGTGGCCAGGTTACACTGACAGTATAAGAGGGGCCCCGGGAGGGCACCTCGGGGCTGTCATTTGTAGTGGGATCCCATTGTGCTGCTGGAGTCTTCGCCGCCGTCTTCGTCTTCACCATCTCGGCGTCGCCAGTCAGGCAGTCTGCCAGCTGTCCTGACTGGGAACCGTAGTTACTAAAGTATAACCTGTTAAGGCCGTGTTAATAAACAGAGTGTCTCCTACTCTTAGTGTCTCTGAGTCAGTCACTATATAACTATAAATTATGTTTCGGTTAAGAAAATGTAGTTAATGAACAGTTTGATAAATTAAAACTCAGAAAATAAATTACCTGCTGAATCGCTCATCGATGAAGCACAACTGAAGATTTTGATTGTTACTCTTTCGATTTATAACAAAAACTAACGATCGACCGATCAATACATGGTTCAGTGATAACACGTTCCTGGTCCCGCACAGAAGACTCGGCCCCACTAAGTGGACAGCAGCAGAGCCACACCAATCAACATCAATCAAACTCTGCCCACTGTTGTAAAGATATGCAATTACAGTACTGTAGAGGAAATGGCGTAGATTTTGGATTAACCAGAGCATATATTTTTGTTCGGTTTAAGCACGTGAGTTGTAATAAACATATCCAAGCATAACAATGTATACCTTTTTGGATTATTAATTTGGGCTTAAGGGAAAATCTATGAGTTATTAATTTATGCCAAAATCTAAGGTGCGCGGTTAATCCATGTTGTGGGCTTCCTGCTCCTGTTCCAGGCCAGGCTCAGGAACGAATGCTGTCTCACGTTTAGACATCGCGATGTAAATGCATATTGTATCGTGTGATGCAGTGACACAAGGTGACTCCAGCACCTGGCCTGTACAAGGGGCATTGGTCTACCAATAGGAAGCGATCACTACAGTTTAGCCTAGTGGCACCCCCAGTGGCAGCTGTCCCTGTGCGGCACAAGGTGACTCCAGTACCTGGTCTGCAGAAGGGGCCAATAGGGAGTGATGATTACTATCTGCCTCGGGGCACCCCAGGTGGCAGCTGCGCCTCTGCCATAATTCCAGCACATGGCCTGCAAACCTGGGCAATAGTCTGCCAGTAGTGGAGGGAAATGAGTGCTGCTGTGTTGTGTAATTGCAGTCCCGTGCGATCTGCGGTGTGGTGTTTGGAATGTGTTGCAGGGATGCGGAGGCGTCGAGGATGAACATATTTTCAGGTCGGTTGTGTGTGTCGGAGAGCGGTGGCTGTGGTTTCACAGAAATTAGTTGTCATTGTTAACCCTCTACTTGCATGGTTTGTTATAAACAAAACCGAACAATTCTAAAAGTTGGTTATTGTGACTTAAGTCAAAGGACGGACTCCCAAGATGTAGTGAAAATATTTTGTATAAGTTAACAACCAAGTTCTTGCTGATGTCCATTATAGAAAACATACGTAACTCTCCCTAGCCACCCCTATTATCTAGAATGTCAATAATGATCATTGTATAAATTATCCAGTGATGCTGCTATGTTGGCAGTAGTGCACAAGCATTATATTTGCAACCATAACCACATTCTAATCACAGCTATAACAACTATAACCACAACCATAACCACAACTATAACCACATAACCACAACAATAACATTGTAACTACAAGCATAACCACATAAACCCAACATTACGACAACCACAATATAACCACAACCACTTTTTACCACAAAACTAACTCAACACGCTCGTCAACATCACTGTGGCCTTACAGGAAAGGCTTCTGTTATTGTTGACGTTTCTGGCAATGGCTGTCATTCATAGCCACCATCATCTCTGTAGGAACCACAGATAGTGTTGAGCCAGTCACCACCAAATGCTCTGCAGTCCTCTATATCAAAATGTTTTCAGCCAATTACTGAGTGTTTATCATCATACATGTGTGTGGAAACTGGAGCACCCGGAGAAAAGCCGCACGTACTAGAGGACAACACTCTATCCTGTCATACAGAAGGAACAGATGATTATCAGTTCACGCTGCTGTCCTGCCTTCTGGAAGAGCCGGGGTATGGCTCCTCGACACCCACCTACGGGAAGGGAGTGTGGAACAGACAGAGTTGAAATGAGCAAAGACTATTAGAAATTTGTCAGAAAGAGACTGTGATGGGAGGATTTCTAGCGTGGAGCAGTGCGGAGGAAGAAGCAGAAAGAGTAAATATTGTGATCTGCAGGGTGTTTAGTGAGTCGGTTGGTGGCTGAGTGAGTGAATGGGTGCGTGGGTGGGTGAATGAGTGAGTTGTTGTGACCTGCTGTCAAATGTTTGATCACTGTGGATGAAACAGTTGGTCTATTTGGTTGTATGTAAACACTGTGTGTGTGCATATCCTATTATGTTGAATCTCAAACGCCCCACCCCTCTTGTTTAACTTGCAGTGGATGGGGACTTCCGTGGGGGGTACATCCTGTGCTTTCTAGACAACGGCCATGGCATGAGCCCGAGTAAGTGAACCGGCCATTATTTTATCACTTGCTGCTCCGACCGGGAGGCTGATGTACAACAGCGTTCGGTCTACCATTGTGATGGTATCAGTCGTGCTGTACCATTAACGGAGAGGACCTCGTGAAGGTTACCATCACTGCACCCCAGAGCCCCTAGGCTGGCTGAAGAACTGTGACCTAAACCGTTGACAACTCCCTGTTCCCCGAAAATAAATCTGCTATTCTGCAGCAAACTACACGATAGAAGAGCAAGTGAATCGGCAGTGGTGCAAGCGTCGGGTTAGTCCTGGGCTGGGGGAATCCTTTCCTTAGCTGGGGCCGAATAAACAGCCAGAGTGAGTTCTGGCTCAAACGCTGGGTGATTATGTGGGACCACCTGTTTGCCAGTATCAAGATATTGAATGAAAGGAAATTATTACCCTTTCTGCCATAAATACGGGAGATGTTAAGATGTTCAAACACCAAATAGACACCTATTACAAGGTATAATGTCTGCATTAAACATACATACTTGTGGTAATGTATGCACTGTCCTTGAAACTGATTGGCCTACACCAGAGATAGCCATCTTCATGGCTTCGTATCACCAAGTATGCCAAAAAGTGAACAGTACAAGGACAATGCCACCGCCAAATAGACACACCGATTGCAAGACATTGAGTCTTGCGATCGTGAGCAGCCACTTAGTGTTGCGTCAGCGAATGAAGAAGTCCTGGGGCTCCCCATTCAGTAACCTGCGCTGACTGGCTTGGTGAACTATGGCATAACCTCCATGACCAACTGTTGGTGAGTGCTGCCACTGGTGATGATGATGACGACGATGCTGATGATGATGCTGATGTTGCTCCAGGTGATCTGGCAAACGTGATGAAGTTTGGAAAATCCACTAAGCGCAACGCGGCCCACATCGGGCGCTATGGGAACGGACTCAAGTCGTGAGTTGTGTTGATGCTCGCCGGCGGTCAGCCGTCTCTCTGTCACTCTTCTATTGCTACTACTACCACTGGTTACTGCTCCCGTGAATTTAACTCACTGAGTCACTCCGTTCACTCACTCAGCTGCCTCCTAATAACTTCTATTGCTGCTACTGCCGTGGTTACTGCTCCCATGAACTTCACTCCTTGACTCCTCCTCAGCCAGTGCTTATTACTTGGTCTGTACCAGACACTGACGGTGTCATCTCATCCACTACCGCCACACTGCAGGTCACAACAACACACTCTTCACTCACGCTTATGCACTCACTCACCCATCCATTTACTCACAACACGCACGAAGACCATTACACACCCACTCACCCAATAACACACTTACCTACTCACTCACCACACTTCAAGTCACAACAACACACTCCTTCGCAAACTGGTTCACCCACCCACAAGATGAAGCCTTAACAGACTGTAGGAGCAAGTGATGTTATCGAGTACCTTTGAAGGCCAGCACGGCACACAAGAGGGTGGGAGGCCAGCACCACCCTCGGCCATCTTTGTCTCCCCAGTGGTGATGTGTACAGGCCAGGTCCTCATTTGAGGCTGTGTGGACCTAGGGCAGGCCCAGGACTGGTTCAGATAATTGTCATTGGTGTTGGCGGTGAGCAGGAATCGAACGCGGGTTGCAAGGTTCATAGGACAGCTAGTGAACTGCTACACTACCGCTCGCCCACACACACAATCATGCACTTACCCACTCATTCGCTGCACTGCAGGTCACATCTATCATTCAAACACTCACCCATTCACACACCCACCCTTGCACCCACCCACTCATTCAACCACTTGCCCACTCATTCACTCGCCCACTCACCATACTGCAGGTGACAACACTTCTGCTTGTTTTCCCATATCCTTACAGCCTTTGCTCAATGCAAGAAATGTGTTACACTCTTACCAACTATGCCTTCTGCAGTGCTGTTTGTTACTGGCCGCTTGACATGTTGGGCCTTTGGATTGTCGTGCAGAGAGTAAGAGGGAAGAGGAACACTACGAAATCACCTGGGCCTGGCCTTTGTTGGATAGATGATGGTGGTATCGTAGTGATGATATAATGATCGTGGTGTTGCGGTAATCGTGATGAAGATGGTGATGATAATGGTGGTGGTAGCCGTGGTGATGGTGGTGGTGGTAGTGATGATGATGATGATTGTGTTGGTAATTGGTGGTGGTGATGTTGGTGCTGGTGAAAGTGTGGTGGGTAATTGTCAGGCATAATACGCCGTCACCACTACTGGGAATATGTAGCTCCAGTTAGGGCCCAGCAGGGGGCAATGACTGGAGGGTCACGCAAACTGGAGGGCGGTTAGGAACCGGAGGTGGACACCCCAGGCCCTCAGTGGGGGCTGGGAGATTGCGCAACAATCTAGGTCCCTCCAGAAGGTTCCAGAGAGTGGGCGTGGCCAGGGGCGGAGTGACCCTGGCAGCCCCATAAAAGCCGGACGGACCCCAGAGCAGCTCCGGCAGTCAGCGTCAAGCCGAACACCGAAGAGCTCGCCTGAAGACTAGGAACCTGAAGATCCCGGGACCCGACATCCTTATCAGGGCCGGGTCTGAGTGGGCCAGCGGTCGAGACCCGAGGACCTTGGCTGGGGTCGGGTCAGCCTCCCCTAGGTCCCGTTAGCCGGAGGGCTAAGATTAGGTGGTCCCAGTGACTAGGGCACGTTAGTCCGGAGGCTATACTTCCTCAGGTCGTCGGATAGAAGGGAGGGACCCACGTGTTGCTTCCTAAGAAAACTCCGTCTCCATACAACCCACTACAAAAGTGGTGGCAGCAGTAGTGGTGATCATGTGGCATCATCGTCACTCTTGATGTTTGTCCACTCTGTCATCGCTAACCGAATAACAAACTCACTTTGGTGACGAATATTTTGCATCGTGAACAAACAAACTTACTCGCTCGTCGTTCCGCCCCCACCATGCCCCGTGTCCATCACTCTCCCTCCACCATGGGGGGCGGGGTGGGTGCCTCTCCTAGGGGAACGATGCGGATTGGGAGGGACATGATCATTCTCACGAAGCAGGCGGCCACCATGAGCTGCCTCCTTCTGTCCCGCACCTTCCACGAGGAGGAGAAGATCGAAGAGGTGAGACTGATCATGACGAGATGTAAGAGAACCAAGCCGAGCCGGCACGGGTGCACAAGTGGATTTTTCCACTGGGCCTGTTTGTTAAAGCCAGGCCGTGCCGAAACTAGAAACATCTGATCCTGGATTGGGGCCAAGCAGGGCCATGGGTCGTGCATAACGATGTGTCGTGCATTGCATGTGATATTGGCGGCACGGCTTCTGGAGTGGAAAAGAGGTATTGGTCCGTGTTGGGGCCCGGAGTGGGGTTTATAATGGCCGTGTTGGGCTGCTAAGCCAGTAACACCGAGACCCTCTGTCTCAATAGGATCATAATGTCTGCGTCCGGGTAAGCCGGCTGCAGTTGTTATTGTTGCCTCTGTAGTTGATGTTGTTCCGCCAGGTCATAATTCCACTCCCGTCGTGGAGGAACGACAACATGGAGGTCATCTTGTCAAACGCGCAGAGATATCAAACGGAGATGGACATCATCTTCAGGTGACATTTAGTCCATGTGCCATGAGCAGAAATCCCAAATGATGAATGTCACCTGTTGTGGCATGTCTTTACTTGTTGGCCACACAGAGAAATTGAAACATCGGTGGGTTATGTGATAACCACTTGAAATTAGTACGGATATCGGATACAGGTGGTACCCGGATGTACGTTAAATTGATTTACGATGATTCGTTATGTAGTAAAGTAACACCTTTTTTTGGTGTATGTCTCCCTTGTTTCTTTGATAGATTTTCTTCATTTAGTATTTATTCAAAATTGGATTTTCTTTTGGTGGGAATTTTGTTAACAACCTTCTAGTAAATGCACGTTATGTCGTTTAACCACGAGTGCATTTTATACGCTTCCGGGCCATTTGCATGGCTGCCATGTTTCGCTCATTTATAATCCGCGTTCAAATTACCGTACTGTTCCACCACCACGAGAGTGTGGAAGATTTGGGGGAGGTGCTACATGTTGAAGCTCCACCCACTCATAGTGCCCCTCCCCTCACCGACCCAGTCACCCCTCCTCCCCTCACCACCTCACCTACTACCCTCCCTCACCCTCCTAATCACCCCTCAACTCCTCACATGACAATGTGCACCACGGTTTCTGGTTAGTAAATTACAGCGTACAGTATTTGTTTTTAATTACCTGTCTCATTCTCCATATTTAGGCGTGAAAATATCTTAGCAGTGTTAATAAGCATTATTTTAGTAGGCTTTGGGTTGGAAGTTCTTTTTATAGGTTATATATTAGGTTATATAATGGGACCTTATGGGAGAATAAGTTTTGATATACGGTACGATGTTTCGCTTTACGTTCAGGTTTTGAAGAATGCAACCCAAACGTATACCGAGGTTCGTGCGTAGTTTGTTCGTAGCCGTATAAATACGTTGGTAAAATTAGAGTTTTGCTACCCTTAGGTGCTATAAAATTGATGCTCTGGCCCATGGGCATATTGCACGTACGCATGTACCTGTTGTGGGCATCAGACCCGGCTCCATCTCAAGCCCACTCAGGCAGGGTCCCCTCTGAGTACTCAGTGGCGAAGCTGTTGAGTGCACAGGCGGTGCAACTGCTCTGTCAGTCCGGCTGTAAACGTGGGCTTGCGGTAACTACCTCAGGGGTTGATTCGATTTGAGTGAAACTCGTGCAAAGTTGCGCTGCTGGTGGGGCCTCAACCTAAAGAAACCCAGCCACATCTATCAATTTGTCACTGCCCGGAACTTGGTAATAAGACACCAGCGATAATTATTGAGGGTTTCAAACCGAAGCGGTGATGCCGCATGCTCCTAGAAGAAGGCAGACGTCATGATCGGCGAAAACAAACGCTCTGGGGACGAACCTGCGTGTCAGGGGAGAGCGTGTGTAAAGAATACATGTGCATGGCTGGTTTCTCTTCCTTATAGAGCGTGACCCGCTGTCACCCCTTACAGGTACTCGCCGTTCAAATCCCAGGAGATACTGGAGCAGCATTTCAAGAAGATTCATGGATCTTCCGGTACTCGTATAATTTTTGTCACGAGGCGATATGGTGCGTCCCATTATTTCGCCGTCCGCCTTCCCTCGCAATCGTGTTAGGAGGGTTATTCATATATTTTACTACAACTTCGGCTGCATTAAATTCACCGTGGCTTGCCACTTTTCCTGCAGTGTAGAGACTGCTGGTGAGGAGGGGTTCTCCTTGTCTGGCCTGCCACAGTGCAATGGAATGGTTGCTATGAAACAATTTGACATTTAAGCCACTGATATAATCTCTGTATGAGTCTCCCGGTCCCTGCATTAGTCTTGGTTCTCTGTGTGAGTCTCTGGGTAAATCTTTGGGCCTCCTGAGTCTTTTGGTATATTTGTGAGTCTATTGGTCTCTTTGTAGTGGGTTCAATCAGACGCACACTATAACTTGGAGGCAACACGGTTTATTAACTAACATCACATAACCCTTAACGGAATAACAACCGTTCCTACACTTAGCTATATACACTTTGAGTAGATGGCTATTTACATTCTGGATGGGCAACTACAAACCAGACCAGGTCAGCCAATGCACTGCCTGGTCCACCTGCGCGACACCCGGAGACCCGAAGACCCGCCGACGACGAAGGTTTCTTCCAGCAGCATCGACCCCGGTCCCCCCCCGGGGCTCGGCTTTTATCCTTACGGCATGGCCAGGCCCCGCCTTTGGCCATGCCTCTTTTCCCGATCTTTCGTGAGGGTTCAGGACCCACGCTCTTTGGTTCTTTCGGTAAAGTCATCCTCAACCCTGGCACCCCCCGTCCCACACCACCTCCGTTCACGTGCCCCTTCCTGTTTACCCAGCCTCCTCTGGTATGCCCATTCGGTGTCCGGGGAGAGGCTCCGCCCCTACAGTACCACCCACACGGTACTGTCTCTACACAGCGATACTCATACCAACGACACTACATCTTTATTAGACTGGGTCTCTGCACAAGTTTATGGGTCTCTGTGCAAGTCTATGGGTCTCTGTGCGAGGCTAGGATTCTCTCTGAGTTAATCTGGCCCTGTGTGATTCTTTATACATTTGCAGGCCAGTTGTATAAGCTTTATGCCGCGCAGGGACAGCTGCCAGCGGGGTTTTCCTTGTATAAACTGCAGCAGGACAGTGGAGTTGTTGAGATGAGAAGATTTCAGGCGCTTGGAGTTGCTCAGACGTTTAAGCAAGCGCCATTATCTATGCAAACCCTTATGCTTGGTGGTCATAGACTGACATGCAAGTCTCATGTAGCCCGTATGCCCAGCCACCGCATTTCCAAGCAGCTTTTGTTTGGCCAGAGAGATGGGGTAAATGGGTATGGCACGGGCTGGAGAAGAGATGAACTGATGCGGTACAGGCAGGTATAGAGCTGAGTGGACTTGCCAATGGTACCAGCGGTGTCGAGATCTGTCTCTGTGGAGGAGGCTCGTGAAGGTGGGTACTGAGCAGTTTGAGGCAGTCGCCGTCCTGCATCACCGGAGGGTGAAGGAGCGATGCTCACAACAACAAGCAGAGTGCTGTGTGGCTAAAACACAGCAAGTTGGCAGAGTAGGGGGCACACGTAGTGCATCTGCTAGTTATAGGAGTCGGTTAACACATGACACCTGCCTCTCTCCTATAACCTGCCAGCAGTGAGTCTTCGACACTTCATGTGGCCTAGAAGTGCACCTAGCCTTGCACAAGTGCTGTTTGTCACCACGACTCGGTTGATATATTTTTTGTGCAATATCACTTTCTCACCTGACACTGCTTTACACTGATTTCTATTTGCTGCATTGCTGTCCTCATTTTTTTTGTCTTTTCGGTGACCAAAGTCACTTACTGTTGCACATGAGACTCCTCTTACTACTTGAGTTCTTATCTTGTTACACAATCAACTTCAGCTCACCTACTCATTCACTCACCCCTTTACTCACCCATTCACTCACCCATTCACTCACTCAACCACTCACTCAAATAATGTATTCACCCACTCATTCACCCACTCATTCACCCATTAACCTACCCATTCACTCATTCACCCAGTCATTCACCCAGTCATTCACCCATGTACTCATTCACTCTCACACACCCACTCACCCATTCACCCACTTACAAATGAGACTCCTCTATCCTGGTCACTGGATTTCTCACTGTGTGACACAAAATCAACTTCACTCATTCACTCACCCACTCATGCACTCACTTGCTCCCTCACCCATTGACTAATTCACTCACTCACCCATTCACCCACTCTTGCAACTGAGACTGTCTTGGTCACTGGAGGTCTCACCTAGCTGCACAAAATCAACTTGAACTGAGAGGCGGCCGTCATTACTGTTGCTGTCGTTGCTGTATAGGAACCCTCGTAATGGTCTACAACCTCATGCTGATGGATGACGGGGAGTCTGAGTTGGACATCACCTCTGATCCTCGGGACATCCTCATGCGGGGTGTGCATAGGGACTTGAGGTGGGTGCGAGTGGGAGGGCTACCCCTGGGAATTAACAATCCCGACATGGCCATTATGCACCTCCTGTGTCCGATTCCCAGGTATTCCTGTAAAGGGTGGAGCCCTTTTACAAGTATAGAGGGGAGTTGGGGTGGGGGGGGGGGGCAAACTGGGATCGCTGGGGTTCCTATGGGTGCCGCAGTGGTGAGATGTTATCGCCCCCGCCTGGTATGAAGGAGGTTGTGGGTTCGGTCCCGACCCTGACGCTTGTATATTTAGAGTTTGCATGTTCTCCCCGTGGTCGCGTGGAATTTTCACTGGGTTCTTCGGTTTTTCACTCCACATTTCAAATAAACATGCAGTTAAGAGTATATTGGGTGCTATACATTTCCACGTGATAAGCCACTTAATTGAGCTCTCATTTGTGGCCTGGTCGCTTCTGAAAAAGAGCTATATAGCTCAGTGGGCCTTACCAGGTAAAAAAAATAGTTTTATTTTTAGTTTCCTAGTGCATGGCTTGCTGCCTCACTCAGACTCGACCGGCGCTCATTTCGCAATGCCGAGCACTGATGGAAAGCCTCTCCCCCCCAGCCCGGGCCCAGGCACCTCGTTACCTTTCTCTTCCAAGTTTCAGTTCTTGAATCTGCAAAACAGTCCCCTTTCTAACCCTCTTCTCTTCCCTTGTCCCTCATCCCCTTCCCCTCTAGCCTTCACTCATTGTTTCTCCTCTGAGGTTGAGCTCATTTGTTGTCCCTTCAGCCTCCCCCCACTGCTCGGTCTGCTGTACTCTCCTCTCCCTGTGTCACTGCACCTCCTCTTTCCGCCATCACACTGAAATCTTCATCTGAGCTCTGTTATTTCCAAAACTCGCCCCCTACCTCCTCCCCCCGTGACCCCATTTCTGCCTCCCTTCTTGCCTCCCCCTCTATATCCTTCCCTACCTTGTCATTTTTCACTCCTAAGGTGACTTCTCTCTTCGACCTTAAAATCTGCTGTTATTTTTCCTCTGCTCAAAAGACCTTCCCTTGACCCCACCATTCTCTTCCGCCTTTTCTAAAATTCTGGAACGCCTTGTTCATAACCAGCGCTCACTCCGCATGTCTTCACATTCCCTGGATCTACGATTTCAATCCAGTTTTCACCCTCTTCCACTAAAACAGCCCATCTAAATGTTTAGAACCATCTTGCAAATTCCTTCCATGCTGGTCATCCATTCTCATGCGTCTTGACCTTTGACACTAGTTCACCCCGCTCTTCTTTCCTCTCTCCAAGCTCAGCAGCTCTGGCCACCCCCTCTCCTGGCTGAAGTCTCACCTCGCACATCCTCCATCTCTAATCACTCCATACTCCCATGCTTCACTCTCAGTGTCGGTGTTCTGCAGGGTTCGGTTCTGGGTCTCTTACTGTTCTCTCTTATATTTCACCACTTGAATAAGTTCTGCTTTCCTCATAATTTCTTTGCTGATGATACACAAATCTTATTTCCTTCATCTACCCCCTGTGACTTTTCCTCTTGTATATCTTCCTGTCTGGCAGCCATCCAATCCTGGATTGTGCCTCAGTCTTTCAATCCTTCCAAGCTAACAATCGTTTTCATTCCGGCCTCTTGCTTTCATCCTCCCATCACAACCATCTCCTCCTCTCTCTTTCTCCTATTTTCTCTGCCCTCAACCTTGGTGTCACTTTTGAGTCTTCCCTGACTTTTTCCACCCACATCTCCACTTCTACTCACATCTGCTGCTTTCATTTATTCAACATTAGGAAATTCTGCCCTCATTTAATTTCTGCCACCAAACACCTGGTTCATTCTGTGATCTTTACCCATCTGGACTGCTACTTCTTCTTGGTGTGGTGTGTAAACATCGGCATTAGGGAGACAAAGGTGGCCGGGCATGGCGCTGGTTTGTTTCGTAAACATCAGCACTGGGGAGACACAAAGGTGGCCGGGAGCAGTGCTGGCCACACCGACCCCCCCCCCCCCCCCCCCCCGTGTTCATATCGGTGTGCGGTTCCAGCCGTTGGTAACAGTACTTGGGATCTGTGTCTCTGTACAGCACCCCTCCGGAGCGGGTGTCGTTCCGCACGTACCTTGCCATCCTCTACCTGAAGCCGCATATGCGCCTCTACCTGCAGCACCAAAAGGTCATCACCAAGAGGCTGGACCACGACCTCTACAGACCCTGGTACGGACCGTGCTTTCTTCAGATGAACCACGTGGCCTTTTTGCTGTTACTGCTCATGGTGATCCGGCACTGGGGAGTTGGCAGCGAGGGTTGGCGGATCGCCGCACAGACGTCATGAAACCCCCTACCCATGGGTGGGGGTTTTAACGCTGGCTCGACGTGTGGCTGCTGCTGCCTTCCCGTTCGTCAATGGTTCCTCTTCGTGGCGCCTCTGAGTTGTCCTCTCTCTCTTTACGAGAGCGATGAGTAAACTCGGTAATAGAAACAGTTTAACGACAAACAGCAGTGATGAGGGGCCGCTTGTGGTTGTTTTATGTTGGCGTGTGCACAGCATGTATAAGTTTGAGTCGTGCCGGTTCCGGGCCCAGGCTGAGAAGGAAACGAAGCAGAAGTCCAAGGAAGTGAAACTGGGTGAGCCACACGTTATTTTTGCATCGGCTGGGCGAGTAACACCTGCCTGGCCCATCGCTCCACGCGACGTTCTGGGTCTCCTTGGCCAAAATTAAGAGCCTCACTTCTGTGTGCAGGTGAAACACAGAGCCCCTCCCTTGCAAACACATGCACAAAGATCCCCCATATAGCATACGTAGACTGTTGGGGCAAGTGCTGTTAGTGAGTAGCACCTATGAAGGCCGGCACGGCACACGACGGGGTGGGTGGCAAGCACCACGTATGCCCGGCTGCCTTTGCCTCCCCAGTGGTGATGTTGTTTACATACCGCACCAGGTACTCTACTACACTCCAACCACCACGCTACTTTGTTATGAACCTGGCGATCGGAGTTCGACTCAACTTTGCCGACATTGGTGGCAAATATTTTATATGGTTGTGGCTCTCACTTAGGTCACCAACAGCACTTGCCCCAATGGCCGTGTGTAGGCTACACGGGAGAACATTGTCCTTATACACAATGTCAACAGCCACTCACCACTAAGTGTCAGTGACGTCACGACGGCGCTTGTACCATGCGAGGTGTACTTTGAGGCCACGCGAAGTGTCGAAGGCCTGCTGGCAGAAGGTCACAGAACAGTCCCACGTGAATTGGGTTGACTGAGATAACTGACAGATGCACCAACTCTGCCCCCCACTGTGCCAACTTTCTGCGTTTTAGCCACTCGGCGCTCTGCTCGTTGTGAGCGTCACTCCTCTGCTCTCCGTTGGTCCTGGAGGGCGACTGCCTCTAACTACCTAGCAGTGTCCTTCACGAACCTCCTCCACAGGGGCAGATCTTGACACTGCTAGTACCTGTCATCAGAAAGTCTAATCAGCCCCACATCTTTCTGTACTGCATCAGTCCATCTCTTCTTTAGCCCGTGCCATGCCCGTTTAGCCCCATCTATCCAGGCAAACATGCCGGCTACATGACCCAGCCAATGCCCAGCCAGTGCAGGCTCACAAACACAAACTCGCATTCATTCACACTCAACCCTCATGTGCGATTGGTGTTGCTCCATCACAGCGGAGGAGAAGGCCCGGGAGTTGGAGAGCCAGGCCCGAGAACTGGAAAGGAAACTTGACTTTGACATGGGGCAGAACGCCAGGGTAAGTGGGTGCGCAAGGGCGGTCAGTCGGTCAGGGAAATGTGTGACATTGTTGCCGCAATGCGTCTTTTTTTTCCACTGTAACTGGGCCATGCGAGCAAGTCCGGCGTGGGTCAGGTCAGGAGGGGCCAGGTTGTTTTTTCCACTGCAGAAGTCGAGCAGTGCCAGTGGTGGTGCACTCGGTGATCAAGCGGAGGAGACGCACGTGGATAACGGCGTGCTCACTGACATCGCGCACGACCAACGTGTCTTAGTCCTGCCCCTGGCCCTGCTTAGCCCCGAGCGAGATTGAGATGTTGTCTTCTTGTGAGGCCTGCAGCAGCAGCGTGCACATTATAGTTTGGTTAATGGCCCCAGTGGACAAAAAACACCCACACCGTGCCAGTGGAAAAGCCGCTGACTCTGCTCGGGTGCGCCAGTGGAAAAGGGGCACAGTTGTAAAGTGGTATTGTATAGTAATATTGTATTGTATAGTATCTTGGTATTATTGTATAGAATAGTGTTTTATAGTACAGCAGTATTGTGTAATTGTATTGTATAGTATTATATAATTGTATTGTGTAGTTTTATTGCATAGTTATATAATTGTATTGTATAGTTGTTTCATTGTATTGTATGGTTTTTGTGTTTAGTTGTCCTTCCATCGCACCTCCAATTAGCATGGTTGGTTATGCATGGTGCAGAAGAAGTTCAGCATACATACAGGCAGTCCTGAAACTTACAAACACTCGCACTTACAAACCAGCTTTCATGATTTTTTTGTTGAACATTGACTTAAAACGTGAACTCGCACTTTCAAACTGAACCAGGGAACTATTTTGTTCACTGGAGCAATCCTCCGCAAGATTACCATATGGGCATTTAAATACAGCACATTGCTGCGTTCCGACTTACGAACCGTTCGACTTACGGGTCCCAGGAACGAATTATGTTTTTAAGTTGAGGACTGCCCTATGTATAATTGTATAGTATTGTATAATTGTCTTCTATAGTTGTATAATTGTATTGTATAGTAGTATATAATTGTATGGTTGCATTGTGTGGTTGTATCCGTGCTGTGTCGGTGCAGGCACAGGTCCGCCAGGCTCAGGTCGCAGCCTCTGAGCAGCAGTGTGAGCTGCAATACCTCCGCAACGAGCTGCAGCAATACCTGGGGTAGCTACTTGGCGCGTGTGTGCGTGTGTGTACAAAGACAAAGAGCCCCGTGTAGCCTACTCAAGACCGTTGAGGGAAGTATTGTTGGTGACCTAGGCATGGCCCAGAACCGTTTTAGATATTCGATACTGATATCAGCCATGAGGACTTTAACTTGGGTTACCGGGTTCGTCACACAGTTACCTGGTACGGTGTGTAAACAACATCACTACTGGGGAGACGAAGGCAGCAGGGCATGTTGCTGGCCACACCAACCGCTTGTGTGCTGTCGCGGCCCTCCTAGGGGTGGCTCACTAACAACACTGCCAATAGCGTTGGTTTTAGGCAACATGGGTGATCATTGACTTTGTCTTTCGGCACGTGTGCGCGAACGTGTGTGTGTGTGTGTGAGAGAGAATGTATGAGTAGCTGGACCGTGTAGCCCACATGTCCAGGCACCGTATGCCCAAGCAGCTTCTGTTTGGCAGGATATAAAGGGGTTAAATAGGCACACAGTACAGGCTGGAAAAGAGATGGACTCATGCGGTAAAGGATGATATGGAGCTGAGTGAACTTGCCGATGACCGTACCAGTGGTGTCAAGGTCAGCCTCTGGTGGAAGAGGCCCGTAAAGGATGCTACCCGGCAGTTGGAGGCAGTCGCCCTCCAACAATGGAGGACAGAGCAGCTACGCTCGCAATAATGAGCAGAGCACCGGACAGTTAAAATACTATACAGCAAGTTGGCACAATGGGGAGCACAGGTGGTGCATCTGCGGGTCTACTCAGTCAACCCATGGCACCTGGGTCGCGCCAGTGTACTTCTGCCATTAGTGAGCCTTCCTCACTTTAAGTAGCCTCAGGTTCACCTAGCTAGGCACAACTGCTGTAGTGATATCACCGCCACTTAGTTGTGAATGGCGGCTGTTGGTGGAGCTAAATAGGCACAACACGGGCTGGAGTAGAGTTGATGATGTGATACGGCTGGACTTGGGAGCTGACTGGACTTGCCGATGACAGGTGCCAGTGGTAACCAGGTAGATTGCCCTCTGTGGATAAGACGAAGTGGTCAGTCTGGTAGACCGAGTCCGTTTCTGTCTCTCTCTGTGTTTCTGTGAACACCTACAGGAATCTACGCAGGCCCAAGCAGCTCTGTTTCGTGCTGGGGTTGAACGTCGAGAGGAGACACCACGACGGTGCCTGCATCTACACCAGCGGCCGCCTCATCCGCATGTACGACCACTTGGGCCCTCAGTCTACCTTAGGCAGGTGAGGGGACACACGGGGACAGGTGAGGGGGGCGACACATGGGGACGGGTGAAGAGGTGGGGGAATGAACCCTGTTGACGTGAACGCTAACGTGGCGGTTGTCCCAGGGGGTGTGGCGGCGTGGTGGCGGTGGTCGACGTGCCCTGCATGGTACTGGAGCCGACGCACAACAAGCAGGGCTTTACCGACTCCACTGAGGTCGCCTTGCTGCTTCGGGCGCTCGCGGAGCACGTGGTGCACTACCGCATGATGCTGGGCATCGGTGAGCAGCAGCAGCAGATGGAGCGCTGACCCCACCCCATCCAGACCCCCAGCTGCCCAGAACCCCCATCTGGCTGCCACCATGGTCATTGGCCCACAGTCAATCCGCTGTTGGATGAACGCCCTTCCACCCCCCCCCCACAACCACCACCATCCCCCCGCAACCACCATCGCCCCCTCCCCCCCAATCACCATCGCCCATCCCCCCACAACCACCATCGCCCCTCCCCCCCCACAGCCATCATCCCCCCCTCCCCCCCCAAACACCCTCGCTCCCCCCCCCAACCACCATCACATCCACCATCAGCCCCCAGCATAATCCAGCAGTGTAGTGACCGAGGCTGTATTTCTACAGATAGGGAGCGGTGGCACAGCGGTTAGCATGCCACGCTACGAACCTGGCGACACAAGTTCGATTCTCCCTCATGACCAATTATGGTGACGTCGAATATCTGAACCAGTCCTGGGTGTCCCCTTATTCAACTCAGCCATAAATTAGTACCTGGTGTAACGTGTAAACAATCGCGGCAGATAAAGGTGGCTGAGCGTGGTTTTAGCCACACCACCCCATTGTAGATGTTTCGTGCCAGCCGTCATAGCTGCTACTCGCTAACCACACTTGCCTCAACAGTCTGTGTATGCTACACGGGACATCTTTGTCTTTGTGTGGGTGTGCAGCCGGCAACGACGTCTCCAAGTTCTGGGCTAGGTTTGGGTACCTGAGCTGGGGGAACTGGGTCCAGGTCCCCAGCTCGGAGCCTCAGTACCGCCGCTGTAGAGCCATAGAAGTACCGATCAACGTGCAGTGCGGTAAGGGTGAGGGTGTGCAGGTTGAGCGAGCGAGTGAGCGAGCGTCTGCGGGGTGAGTGAGCGTCTGCGGGGTGAGCGAGTGTGTAGGAGGTGTGGAAGCAGTGGTGCAGCAGTTGCCACGATGCCCTACGAATCCCGCGACCAGTGCGAATATTTAAAATTGGTCCTGGGCCTTTCCTAGGTCGACTCAGCCTTAATTGAGTACCTGGTGCATTTTGTAATTGGAACATTAGGGTGTTGGCCACCCACCCCCTCGTGTGCCGTGCCAGTCATCGTAGGTGCCACTCACGGCACTTGCCCCAGCAGTCTATATGGGATCTTAGTGTAGGTGTTTTTGGGGAGCAGTGGCACTGGGCTACAAACCCGAGAACCCGAGTTCGATTCCCGCTCTACGACCAATAATGGTGGTGAACATCTGAATCAGTCTCGGGCTCCCCTAGGTCAACTCTGCCTTAAATGAATACCTAGAAGACAAAGGCGGCTGGGGCGAGGAGCTGACCAAACCACCACGCTCGTGCGCAGTGCCAGCTACGGTGGGCGATCCTCTCCAATGGAACTTGCCCCGGCCACCTTGTGCAAGCCACGTGGGGGACCTTTATCTTTGTGTTGGGGTGGGGGTCTGTTTGGCGCAGATACGTGTCTCAAGTGGCGCTCACTTCCCTTCTGCTCGAAAGGCCTCCACAACCCTTTCCCGGAAGTCTGGGTTTGCTCCATGAACCCCGACCCCAGGGACAACCGGTCAGTCGCGGGTCAGGGGACACACGCTCAAAACCATGCCAACTCACGCTCTCATTTTAGGAATCGATGGCAAATGTGAACCGTGATGCCCGGCACACGATGGCCTCCTCTTGTCGAATTATGTCACTGGAGTCCTTGACGTCAGCTAGCGAACATTGTCGTTGCAAAGGTTATCTGTAAATTATTTGGGTGTTGTCTAGGGCATCATTGAATAATGACAGTAACCCATCTTCTTTGGTTCTTTCCGTAAAGTCACGTAGAATGAGAGTAAAATAATAAATTAATAAATAACACAATTAAATTCTCACGACGTTTCGGCCACAACACAAGTGGCCTTCAGGTGAAAGGAACAGACCTGTCGGGACGACAGAGCTTCAATGAACGTTGTTAAGATTTGTAGCGTCTTTTTAAGCTGGTTTAGAGAAGTGAGGCACCTTGACAAAGGGGTTTACATATCAAACAGGAGAATTTAGCATTGAAATAGCTGAGTGATTAGCTTGTGACTGGTCATAGAAATAGCTATGTTAAAGTCAAAGCCTACACATCCACAGAGCCACCTAGTACAAATCAAACAGGAGAATTTAGCATTGAAATAGCTGAGTGATTAGCTTGTGACTGGTCACAGAAATGGCTATGTTAAAGTCAAAGCCTACACATCCACAGAGGCACCTAGTACAAATCAAACAGGAGAATTTAGCATTGAAATAACTGAGAGATTAGCTTGTGACTGGTCATAGAAATAGCTATGTTAAAGTCAAAGCCTACACATCCACAAAGGCACCTAGTATAAATCAAACAGGAGAATTTAGCATTTAAATAACTGAGGGATTAGCTTTTGACTGGTCATAGAAATAGCTATTTTAAAGTCAAAGCCTACACATCTACAGAGGTACCTAGTACATGGACGCCAAAGGGGCTGCAACAACTTGACTATCATATAGTAAACCAAGGTAAAAAAAACTAAGTCTAAATTACATCAATATAATAAATGTACTCAATATATTCTTCAATAAGCTGAGCTATTAACAGTAACTGGGTATACACTACACTATATAATGAATACCATATAGTAAACCAATTAAACCAGATTCGTATTATTGTCACATGCAACGGAGAGGTTTTGCACACTGTTAAACCACACACGGGAACAGGACTTTAGTGCAAGAAATAAATTTGTTTACCAAAAAAACAGTCATTAATAGGCAACCGCTGGTCACTACAACTTATAATACTGTTACGAAGGTATTGGTATTCATCGAAAAGCAAATCAAATCGGGCACGGCTCTGTATGTAAAAGCAATCAACATAGAACAACCCAATATCAAATGTAATGTAAATGTACGACTCAAATTTAATAAGGACTTAATACTAGAGACCAAAGTACTTGTGATACTCATTAATAAATGAACTTTAAGCACAGTCTGGTATCATTAGTCAGTCTATGAACAGGCGTCGTCTCTCGGCATACATCATGAATTGACCAATGTATACTAATTAACTTTCTTATCCAATCTTTCACATGAGAAAAAGAAGTGCTCTCTCTTATGAGGAAAGTGAGTTGTGTGTTTGGCCTTATGTCTACCCCCTGTCAGAGGTAGACATTGTTTATATTGACACAGCTGTGAGACATCCACTTCATGGTAGGCAAAGGGGAGGAGTACTCTTCCCTGTGCCCAAGTCAGCTTTCAATGCTGTTTTGTGTTGTGGCCCCACACAGGGTGTCGTGGTGGTGAGATGTTAACTAACTCGCCCGGTATAGAGGAGGTCGTGGGTTCAATCCTGACCCTGCGCCTGTTTATTTGTAGTTTGCGTGTTCTCCTTGTGGTCGTCTCCGGTACCTCCGGTTTGTCCCTCCACATGATAAGCCACTGTTGAGCTCTAATTTGTGGCCAAGTCGTTTCTGAACAAAAGCTACATAGCTCAGTGGGCCTTACCTGGTAAAATTAGAAGTTTAGTTGAGTACTCCATAACGTTATATGTTCTCAAAACATATAACGTTATGCAACTTCAGCAGCTATTGCATTATTATACTCAACTAATGGGTTTAATGGCATTCCCACGACATAGTGGTACAGGTTTCCCACACGTTTTGCGGTAGATGCATTTCAAAAGAGGGGGTGCACAAAGCAAAACCGCACACAGCAATTCCTCGCTTAACGCAGGAGCAGATGCCTTCCTGAAAAGTACCGCGTTAAGCTAAAAACGTGTTGAGCGAAGACAATTTCCCCATAAATGTAACAAGGTTTGGAAAGATAATATGTACGCGATACAGTGAGATAGCATGACAAACAACTTAGATGAGGATACGTCGACACATACTAGATTTTTCTGTGTACTGTATTGTAGGGCTCAGCTGCGCTTTCCATCTAACGGGCCCATTAAGCATTGTAACTGCGTGTTCCATGTTGTAACGGGCACGTTCGTGTAGTAGTAGTTATGGTATTGTATGGTTAATATACGGAGTCTCATTTGCAAGACTGGGTGACCTGGGGGCATCAATTTGCCAGTGGGGGGCAATTATTGCTGCTGTATGTGTGCGATCCCATTACAAGTGATTCGCAATGTCGTTTTTCAAAAGTTGGCCAATTTTCGATTAAATGGGATCAAATTAATGGGTCTGAATGAAGACACGGTTGAGATGGTGTACAGTTGTAGGGATTGAGTGATGGGCTGTGTTGTTGTTCTGTTTTACAGTTGCGAGGCTATGGAACAGGACCCTCACATTCCCCTGCAGATCATTAAGAAAAAGGTTAAGCCAGTGCATAGTACTTACACAACGGGGGAGTGGGCAGGCTGCAGCATGGACACTGTGCAAGAAAAATTACTCACCGTAGCCTCTTATAAGCAAGTGGTGTGTCACTGCATCTTACAGGGATGCACGCAGAGAGCTACAGATTTGTAAAGATTCCCACAGACTCGCGCAGACACCCAGACTCGCACAGAGGCACAGTCCAACACGTGTCACTCTGTGTGATATCGCTTCTAGACGCAGCAGCTGCCACCATTCGTAGTCATAACCTACAATGGGTGTTTGTCTCTTGGACAAAATTGCATCCAGGTAATAGCTGGCACAGAGAGAGAAAGAGGCAGAGAAGGTGCCTCCTTCCAAAGATTACCAGCTCTTCCCCACTCGTCATTTGGCATTTTATTCTTAGACTAGGATGGTGGATGTCAGGGGGGCGTTGGTTGAATTGTTTAATGGACTTGGGCTGGATGCGTCACGGCCGGAAGGGATGGCAGCACCAATGTTTTGGAATGTTTCCTCCCTTAACATCGTACATTCACATTTCCTCCCACATTTGGAAATGTGATTTGTCCTCGCTTGTGTATCAATCAATGTTGATGTGAGATACTATGTGTTGTTGTCCTGGTGTGGCCTGGGACTGTGGTTGTTGTTGTTGTTTTGCCTTGCCCAAGCTTGAATTTAGTGTTGAAAAACCAGTAGGAATTGATGTACTTATACCATTTGTACTTATATGCTTGATTTTTTTGTACTTGTTTACCTTTTCTCTGTATTGCATTCCAAGTCTTTGTTTTGTATTATTTCTTATTGTAACTTGCTGATCACCTGCCCCTACTAGACATCTGGAAAAAAGAGCTGCATAGCTCATCAGATTCCTCCTCCAGGATAAAAAAGATTATGATTCTGACTAGCAGAGCATCAGGGAAAGGAAGGGAACGAGTGCCAGAGAAGAGGGACGTCCACACATGGGAGACAGAGTGATGAATTTGTTGTGCGCAGGAACTGGGACCGAGTCATCGCACGGTGAGACCCCAAGAGGTGGCAACTGCTTGGGGGGATGGGGGGTGGTTGATGGGGGGGAGGCATCATCCAGCAGTGGATAAAACATGGCTGTTGACTGATGATGGAGATAAATGGCAGTTCCGCAAGAGTTGAAGGCCACATTGGGGCATCATTGCTCAACAGTTGATTCCTCCTTCGCTCTAAATAAAGATTCTGATTCTAATTTGTCTTCTCTATACAGGCCACGCGTAAATCTGGCGGCAGCTCGCACACTTGCAGAGACAGCCCCAGCACCTCCTGTGACTCCACAGCCCGAGGGAAGAAGCGACGGATAACGACGAGGGTGGGGTTGCACATGGAAATCATCGCCCCCTACTGGCAGACTAATGCACAGGGACCGCTGCTACTGGGCCGTGCCTCTAGGCTTGACCCTAAACTAGTTTACATTACTAACATCAATTGAACGTTATGGCGGGACCCCGGGGTCCCATAAGCCCCCAGCTCTCACATAAACTGCGTTACGACGTAATTTTATATCTGTTGAAGGGGAACGATACAGCAATCTATTCCTCTCGTCGAGCTCTATACGATGCGCTAATCAAAGTTTAAAAGTTTTGTTTCTTCTGCGCACTCGTCCTCGCTGCGCTTGGACGACATGACAACAGAATGATCTGCGCCAGGTGGGTCGCAGCGTTTACGTGCGCAGTGGGACGGAGTCGCCAAAAATAAATAAATACGATTTTGACTTCCGTTTATTCGGAACCCTGGGGTCCTGCCATAAGGTTCAATTCATGATGCATTATATTTTTTTATGAATTTTGTATTTTTTTATTTTTAATATTACAGGGGTAATCCTTCAACATTCATCAATTATGATTTAAAGCTTTCGTGACTGCAGTAATTCATATTCTTAGTTTTTTCGGTAAAGTCACGTTGAAGGGAAACAACAAAAGACGACCGTTTGAGTTATGGTCGAAACGTTGTGAGAATTTTTTATTGTTTTATATATTTTATTATTTTGTTGTTTCCCTTCAACGTGACTTTACCGAAAAAACTAAGAATATTCATAAATTATGTTTTGTTTCAATTCAGTCAATTTTATTTCCATTTAAATGTCATCTAAAGAGGAAGAATACAAAGATAAATTCATAATTATAATAGATAAAATATGAACCGATGTGTCCTGACTTTTGGGTCACCCTGTATAACAATAACCCTATGTGTCCTGACTTTTTGGCCCCCCTGTATATATTTTTATTATAAATGGGTCCTGCAGAGCGAGAAAGCGAGCGTTGCGATCATCATTTCTAGCAGCTCGGAAACAGAACAAGGAGGAGAAGAGAGCGACACCCCTTCTGAGCCCAAGCGCAGATCCCAGCAGAGCAAGGTTTTCGACTGCCTGCTACACACGAGCAAAGACAAATGTCCCCCGTAAAGCCTTTAACGGACTGTTGGGGCAAGTGCTGTAAGCGAGATACAGCACCTATGTAATGTTTACTACACACAGCACAATGTACTCAAGGTTTGTAGTGCAGCGCACTAACCGCTGCACCACCGCTCTCACTGCAGTTTAACACCTTCAGAGGTGCCCTAGTTTATTACGTACCCTTCACCAGCAGTGGCTTGAATCTGCAATTTCAGGGGCTCTTTCCTCCACTTTCTCAGGAGCGTAACGAGACGACACGGAGAGAGGCCGGCGAATCGCGTGATGCCGATGTCGTGACCGGAATATCTGACCTCTTCAGGTGACAGTGATAATGGTGGTGGTGTTGATAGTGGTGTTGATGAATATCTGAACCTGTCTTGGGCCTACCCTTGGTCGACTCGGCCTAAAATGAATACCTGGTGCAGCGTGTAAACATTGCCACTGGGGAGATCAAAGGCAGCCCGGCGTGGTTCTAGCCACCCACCCCCTCATGTGCCGTGCCGGCCTTCATACGTGCTACTCGCTAACAACAGCACTTGCCTCAACATTCTGTTAAGGCTATACGGGGGATCTTTGTATTTGGTGGGCCCAACCACGGTCAGCAGCTCCACTGGGCGCATCGTGACCGCAGAGATCCCCGGTTCGACTCCACCTCCCGACCCTGCAGAATCATCCCATGCATGGTGGTGTAAAGTGTAGGTAACTCCCACTTCAATGCTGGCGAATGGTACGAGAGGTTTATTTATTACTTGCGGGAAGTACCCGGCGTTGCTCGGGGGAAAAATATATTTCAAAACTTATCTTAAAAACATAACATACATTTCTAAGCTATTGTGAAAGACTGGCGTGCCATTTGTCCGTCAACAAAATTATAAGAGGCTTGCAGAAGTACAAAAAGTTATTGAAAGTAGGGGGTAAATCGTTGCTCTAAAAGGTTTCCGAAAATTGTCGACCCCCCACCCCTCAAAATATTTTTACCCCCGTGTAGGCTAAACACCCTACATACACTAGAGTGAGTAGTATCTAGTGACTATAGTAGTATCTGACTACACAGTAGTATCTACTGATTATAGTAGTGTCTATTTACTCTATATTAGTATCTACTGGCTGTAGTAACTACTGACCGTAGTAGTATCTACTGACCCTAAAGTATCTACCGACTCCATAGTAGTAACTACTAACTCTATAGCAGTATCTGCTGACTCTATAGCAGTATCTACTTTATAGTCGTTATTACTGACTGCAGCAGTATATATTGACTGTAGTGGAATCTACTGACTGTAGTATTATTTACTGACTATAGTATCTACTGACTGTACGGTAGTATCTACCGACTATAGTAGTATCTACCGACTCTATAGCAGTAACTACTGAATCTATATTAGTATCTACTGACTATAGTAGTAACTACTAACTATGGTAGTATCTTGCTGACTCTATAGTAGTATCTGCAGACTATAGCAGCACCTACTAAATCTATAGTATCTACTGACTATAGTAGTAACTACTAACTCTATAGTAGTATCTACTGACTGGTAGTATTTACTGACCATAGTAGTATCTACTGACAGTAGTATCTACTAACTATACAGTAGTATGGAATGACTATAGTAGTATCTACTGACCGTAGAAGTATCTAACTGTAGCAGTATTTACTGAGCATAGTGGTATCTACTGACTAGTAGTATCAACTGACTCTATAGTAGTATCCACTGACTATAGTAGTAACTACTAACTCTAGTATCTGCTGACTCTATAGTCGCATCAACCAACTCTATAGTATTAAATACTGACTCTACAGTAGTATCTAATGACTATAGTAGTATCTACTGAATCAATAGTATCTATTGACTATAGTAGTATCCACTGACTACTATGTAGTATCTGCTGACTCAATAGTATCTACTGACTATAGTATCTACTGACTTTGCAGCAGCATATACTGACTGCAGTGGAATCTACTGACTAGTGTCATCTACTGATTCTATAGTAGTATCTACCGACTCTACAGTAGTATCTACTGAGCCCAGTAGTATCTACCGACTATAGTATCTACCGACTCTACAGTAGTATCTACTGAGCCCAGTAGTAGCTACTGACTGTATAGTAGTATCTATTGACTGTAGTAGTAGCTACTAACTGTAGTAGTATCTACTGACCCTACAGTAGTATCTACCGACTTTATAGTCGTATCTATCGACTCTGTAGCAGTTAACTGCTACTTAACAGTGTCGTGGTGAGGCCTAGTCCCGTGCAGACCCCTCGGCCTGGCCTAGATTGCCCAGCCGGCCGAGGTAGCACCTTGGCAGGCTGGAGCTGGGCTGCTATAACCCACACCCCCATTGCTCACTCTACAGTAGCAGTAACTACAAACGCTACAGTAATATCTACCTACTCTATGGTCATATATACTAACTCTATAATAGTACTAACTTAACAGAGTGCGTGGTGAGTCCTAGTCATGTGCAGAATCCCCGGCCTCGCCTAGATTGCCCAGCCGGCCGAGGTGGCACCTTGGCAGGCTGGGGCTGCGCTGCTACCCCCCCCCACCATCCCCCGCTCTACAGTAGTAGCTACGGACTATAGTAGTAGTATCTCCTGACTCTATAGTAGTAAGTGCACACATTGGGGCAGGGGGGGAGAAGAGGACATCACACTTTGAAGAATTTACCTCAGCGTTGTGTGTATTTTTTCTGCATTTTTAACGCGAAGAATTCCCCCCTCCCCCCACCGATCGCGTGTGTGCGTTGCTAGGGGCAACCACGGTTCAGCTTTCTTGCGCATGCGCAGATGCGTGCTTTAGCGCGCGCTCAGCGTAGTAATATAATAGTAATAATTTGTTAATTTAACTACTTTAAAGTTGACGGACGTGAAATAGGAATAGTGCTGGCTCACCACGGGGCTTATCGCGTGGTATCTGGGTACTTTTTTTTAAACGTATACCCCACGGTTCGCGAGTTAAAACCCGTCGCAAGTTTCGTCCACAGACACACAGACAGACAGACAGACAAAAAATGACTTTTATAGGTAAGATAGGTATGGGTCCTAATTTGATGCAAAATCTACACAATACACAACGCAACAATCATTAGCGCTGTTTTCTTGCGTTGAATTGAGGCACTCCCAGAAGGCCATGTGTTCGTATACTTCACGGCCAGAAGTGACGGTGGCCGGTGGTCAAGAATAGCGATGGAGTGTTGGAGCCAAAGCAGAAGTGACAGTGGCCGGTGGTCAAGACTAGCGAATGAGTGGCAGCCAAAGCAGGGAATGCCTCCCAACAAAATTACGTCCCACCGTGGAGATGAAACGGTGATGGAATGATGAAATCTTCTCGTGCGGAGGGGGTAGACCGATAGTATTGCATCATGAAATTGGGAGAGCATAGAAAATAGCAATGGCTTGGGAGACGGGGGAGCGCGGTGGGGTGGGGGCGTCATTCATCAGTGGATAGATTTTGACCGATAATTGAATTTTCAACAGGAATTGTCTGGGGTTCCTGTGGTTTCCCGAATACCACATTTCTCTGGACAACATCCGCACCATGAGCGTGGAAGAACTCAACGCTTTTCCACTGGTAAGAGGCGTATTCGGCAACCGTGTGAGTCTGAGTTTCTGTGTAATTCTCAATGTTTGCATCTCTGCTTGTCTCTGTGTATGTGAATCTGTGTATGTGTCTCGATGTGAGTATGTGAGTCTATCTATGTGAGTCTATCTCTGTAAATCTCTGTGCGAATCTGTGTGTCTCTATAAATGTATAGCTCTGTACGAATCTGGTGGTGATGGTGGTCATGACAGTGGTGGTAGGGATAGTGGTGATGATAATGGGTGGTGGCGGTTGCTGCCTAGTGCTACAGGCAAGCGAGGCTGCACTGGCTGGGTCATGTAGCCTGCATGCCCAGCCACCGCATGCCCAAGCATTTCCTGTTTTGCCGAATAGATGGGGCTAAACGGAAAACGCATGGGCTAGAGAAGAGATGGACTAATGTGATAGAGAAGGATGTGGAGTTGCTTGGACGTGCTGACGGCTGGTACCAGCAGTGTCCAGATCGGCATCTGTGTGGTTCGTGAAGGACGCTATGGGGAGTTGGAAGCCGTCACCCTCCAGCAATAACGAAGGGCAGAGGAGCGATGCTCAAAACGAGCAGAGCGCCGAGCGGCTAAAACAGAAAGTTGATAGTGGGGAGCACAGTGCATCTGTTAGTCAACTCATGACACCTGAGTGTTTCATGACCTGCCAGCGGGCCTCAAAATGCATATGACACATGCACTACGGTGACGTTAATGCCACCTAGTGGTGAACGGCGGTTGTCGATGGTTGTGGTGATGGTGTTGGAGATAGTGGTGGTCATCATGATGATGGTGTTGGTGGTGATAATAGTGGTGGTGATAGTATCTATGGGACCCCTTTTTTCCATTATCAAGATATTACAAGATAGACAAGGCGAGCAGTACAAGGAAATTGCAAGTACCAAAGCATTCATAGCTCGGGTTAAACATTTGTCGTGGTAGTGGTGATGCAAGTCCATGGGTCTTTTCGATTTGAAGCTTTCGTGACTGCAGGGATTCATCTTGGTTCTTTCGGTAAAGTCATGTAGAATGGAAATAAAATAAAAATAAAGCATAATAAAATAAAATTCTCACGACGTTTCGGCCGCAACACGAGTAGCCTTCCTCAGGTGAAGAAATGGAACTGTTGGGAAGACAGCGCTTCACTGCCAAGCTTGGCAGCGTCTTTAAAGCTGGGTGGGAGGAGCAGAGCGCCTTGAGGAAGGAGTTTACATATCAACAGAAGAATTTAGCATTGAAGTAGCTGTGTTAATGTGTTGGGTTAGCAGGATGTTAAAGTCAGAAATTAGCATGTAACTGGGAGATTAGCATAATGTTAGTGTGAGGGATTAGCATGTAACTATGTCGGAAAAAGTGGCGGTTTCTTTTTTCTTTTCAACGTTAGCACCACGGAAAGTGACGAGCTTTGTTCAGACGGACGAGTCCATCTATGCTCGGAACGGAGAAGGGGGGAGAGAGGGAAACAGCCACGCTGCGCTGCTCTGTCCTGTGTTGCGTTGCAACTATGCTATAAACTAGACTACTATACATTACAATAGTATACCTTCCAATCTAAACTACATTGTATAATATCGTATACACAGCCCAATGTAAGCTCTAACATGCATTATACTCTTGGGTTTTATTCGGTAAAGTCACGTAGATAAAATAAAACAAAATAAAACAATTAAATCACGACGTTTCGGAGGCAACACAAGCTTCCGTCTTCAGGTGGAAAAGTCAACGTAGAATATCTGTGTCAGGAGCACAGTTTAGAGGCGACCTTGGATTATATACAGGTTAAGGGAGGGGGGAGGAGTCGGTAAGGGGGCGAGGGTGGGAGGGCTGGGCTAAGCAGCCTTTTGATAGAATGCTGCGGGTAACACCCACTTCTCAAAGCTCACATCAAAGGGCCCCCCGATGTGGGATCACATCAAAGGGTCCCCCAGTGCGAGCTCACATCAAAGGGCTCGCATCAAAGGGCCCCTCGATGTGAGCCCACACCAAAGGGTCCCCCGATGCGAGCTCACATCAAAGAGCCCTTTGATGTGAGCTCGCACTGGGGGACCCTTTGATGTGAGCCCACATCGGGGGGCCCTTTGATGTGAGCTTTGAGAAGTGGGTGTTACCCGCAGCATTCTATCAAAAGGTTGCTTAGCCCAGCCCTCCCACCCACCCACGCCCCCTTACTGACTCCTCCCCCCTCCCTTAACCTGTACATAATCCAAGGTCGTCTCTGAACTGTGCTCCTGACACAGGTATTCTACGTTGACTTTTCCACCTGAAGACGGAAGCTTGTGTTGCCTCCGAAACGTCGTGATTTAATTGTTTTATTTTGTTTTATTTTATCTACGTGACTTTACCGAATAAAACCAAAGAGTATGAATCCTTGCAGTCACGAAAGCTTCAAATCTAGAATTATGCATTATATTGATATGCCTCCAACTTAACTTTTTTCTAAATTACATGACTATACACCATAATATACACTGCCTTAGACAAACCCCACCCTTGAATTATACAATGCGTTACTATACACTACCCTATACTTTAGACTATAAAATATTAGACTTGTAATATGACACTATGTATTATTCTACCAACCCTACTGTATACCACACTGCTGTATATTCACTATACAATTACGATACTATATATTGCCTTATGAATTATGTTAAACCGGATTCCCACCACCACCCATCCCAGAAGAATTCCCTCATCAAGACTATACCAGGGGTCGGGAACCTTTTTGGCTGAGAGAGCCATGAAAGCCACATATTTTAAAATACATTTCTGTGAGAGCCATATAATATATTTTAACACTGAATACAACTAAATGCCTGTATTTTTAACTAAGACGACCAATTTTAGAATATAATAAGTCTCTGTATCCTTTTTCATAACGTTATACCAACAACCAATAAATAAAATACTTCTTACCATTAATGCGACTTCTGGTGCTGCATGGTTTTGCTGATGGCTTTGTAGTCTTGTTGATACGTGGTGAGGTTAAGCTTCATGCAGGCGTTGAGGCTTTCATCCGTTAAACGGGATCGTAGGTTGGTCTTTATGTTTTTTAGATGTGAGAACGGCTGCTCACGTGAATACGTAGAACCAAACATGGTCAATACAGCAATACTCACATGCTGCAGTATGTGACAGGAAGCGCGTTCCATGTTTTGACAATCAGCTGGTCTGCGGGTTGAAGTTTTTTCAGTTCTGTCCACTTGTGTTTGCTTGCCAGCTCTGCTTGCTGTCGTTCAAGTCTTTCCAAATCTTCATTCATTGACTTGAACTTATTCACCCACATGTCTGAGGCCTTCAGGTCAGCAACTTCCAGCTCAAAATCTCTGATGGAGACACCAGGGATGTAACTCAGGTCGGCTTTGTCCACTGCACACTCGTGTGGATGAGTGATGAACTTGAAAAGACGAGTGTGCTCACAAAGCGTGCTTTGAATGACTGCTGGAGATCAGATGTGAAGCCAGCTAGCTGCTGGAGATCAAAATGTTGAACGGGGTCACTTGCTGTGCACGCATCTTTAAATTTTCTCAGTTTTTCAAAGTGCAGTAAATGACCTGCTTCAATATCCACGATGAAGAGTTCCAGCTTGTTTTCAAATGCAAACACTGCTTGTTGAATGGATAAGACTGTATTTCCAATGCCTTGCATTTTCACATTGAGCTGGTTCAGATATCCAGTCATGTCCACAAGATAGTAAAACTTCAGGAGCCACTCAGTGTTAGCTAGCTCAGGATGCTCGACATCTTTCATTTCAAGAAAAGTCCGGATTTCGCTCAGGCAAGCCGCAAAACGGCTGAGCACCTTCCCTTTTGACAACCAACGCACTTTGCTGTGCAAAAGCAGACCGGGATAATGATTCCCAACTTCATCCAGCAGTGTTTTAAACTGGCGATCATTTAAAGCTCGGGCAACAATAAAGTTGACCACCCGAATGACCAGTGACATCACCTCACCAAGCTGCTCGCCACACATTTGAGCACAAAGCGCCTCCTAATGTAGAATGCAGTGAAGACTTAGGATTGGTCTTTTTTCATGTTGACGAAGAAGCGCTACAAATCCTCTGTTTTTCCCCACCATACACGGAGCACCATCAGTACACACCGAAATAAGCTTATCCATCGGTAGACTTTTTTCTTTAGCGAACTCAATGAAAGACTTGAATAAATCCTACACTCTTGTTGACCCTTTCATTGGCAAAACAGCAAGACTTTCCTCACGCAGTGTGTCACCGGCAGCATACCTTGCAATCACACTGAACTGGGATAAATGACTTACGTCTGTTGACTCATCCAAAGCAAGGGAAAAGTATGGCGCTGCATTTAGATCCTTCACTTGTGTTTCCTCCACTTGATTTGCCATCATTATGGTACGATCGTAAACAGTTTTTGCTGACAGAGGCATGTCTTTTATTCGTTTGATTATCTTGTCTTTATCCGAAAAGTCAAAAAGTTCGTTGGCCACATCAAGCATGAATGTTTTGGCATACTCGCCATCTGTGAATGGCTCTCCGTTCCTCACAATTGCTAAAGAACCAGCAAAGCTAGCTGAATTCCAATCACCTTGTCTGGTCCATACACGGAGTTGCTGCTGACTAGCTTGCACTCTGGACAGTAGCTCTTGGCATGCCTTCTTTCTGCTGTCCCCCGCTGGATATTTCGATGCAAATGTAGCATGGCGTGTGTCGAATTGCCGCTTTATACTTGACCGTTTCATCGATGAAATTTTATCATTGCATATTAGACACCGCAGAACCTGCTCTCTCCACAAAGGCGAATTCTTCTGTCCATTCGTGCTGAAATGTGCAGTACTCACCTTTTTTTCTTTTCGCCATCTTCATCAAAAGGGTTTGCTCTGCATAAATTAGCTAGCTGACTATTTGATTAAAGGACAGAAGTTTACTTCTTGACCTCACAACGACCCGTAGGCTACCGCATTATCCAATAAAAATAGAGTTTTGGTGTCGGACAGCTGGGATTGGCTCCAGCCACCTGCAACCCTGAACAGGAGCGGTAGAAAAATGGATGGATTAAAATGCATGAGAATGTTTTATATTTTAAACGTTATTTTTAACACTGATTTCTGTAATGTTTTACTTTAATGTCAGCGGAATTATTCATTACTTATGTTAAGAAATGTCAGCTAAGATTTATTTGTGAGCCAGATGCAGTCATCAAAAGAGCGACATCTGGCTCGCGAGCCATAGGTTGCCGACCCCTGCTCTATACCATAGAGGCCAATGCATCTCCGACCAGGAACACATTGCCAGTGAACTCAAGCACGTACACCAAGCTCTCAAGGATAATGGTTACTCCGACTACACAATCCGCAAAGCCATCACTCCAACCATGAAGGATCCTCTAGAGGAGCCATTCAAAACCATCACCTTACCCTACATTGCCGGGGCCACAAAAAAGATCTCAAATCCTGAATAAACACAAGATCCAGGTCCGATTAAACACAGTACATAAAATCCGTGATCTAGTTCCGTCTGTAAAAGATGTGGTTCCAGACATACAGTACCCGGGCGTCTACAAACTAAGTTGCCTCTGTGGTAGCAGCTACATTGGAGAAACCAAACGCCAAATCTCGGACCGCATCCGTAAACATAAAGCAGACTTGAAACACAGTAGGACGAACACCTCAGCCGTGGCAGATCACTGTTATAATTCAATGGGCTCACATGACATTGACTTTTCCAATACGGAGGTTCTCTGCAAGCCATCCGGCTACCATGAGAGATTTGTTCATGAGGCCATTCACATATACAAACACAGAGAAAATTTCAACCGAGAAGATGGATTCTGGCTTAGTAACCATTGGAAAGACGTTATAAACCATTTCGGTTCTTGATTGATTGTATTTTACGGTGACTTTCAGACCGCAGTCCATTCGCTGGCACTGCCTCTTAGTACCTTTCACACGACGGTCAATGGTATGGTTTATAGCATGTTGTATAATAATAAATAGTATAACAGTGTAATGTTTAACATAATTCATAAGGTAATATATAGTATCGTAATTGTATAGTGAATATACAGCAGTGTGGTATACAGTAGGGTTGGTAGAATAATACATAGTGTAATATTACAAGTCTAACATTTTATAGTCTAAAGTATAGGGTAGTGTATAGTAACGCATTGTATAATTCAAGGGTGGGGTTTGTCTATGGCAGTGTATATTACGGTGTATAGTCGTGTAATGTAGGAAAAAGTTTAGTTGGAGGCATATCAATATAATGCATAATGTTAGAGCTTACATTGGGCTGTGTATACGATATACAATGTAGTTTAGATTGGAAGGTATAATATTGTAATGTATAGTCTATAGCATAGTTGTAACGCAACACAGGACAAAGCAGCGCAGCGTGGCTGTTTCTCTCCCCCCTCCTCCATTCCGAGCATAGATGGACTCGTCCGTCTGAACAAAGCTCGTCACTTTCCGTGGTGCTAACGTTGAAAAGAAAAAAGAAACCGCCACTTTTTCCGACATAGTTACATGCTAATCCCTCACACTAACATTATGCTAATCTCCCAGTTACATGCTAATTTATGACTTTAACATCCTGCTAATCCAAGACATTAACACGGCTACTTCAATGCTAAATTCTTCTGTTGATATGTAAACTCATTCATCAACGCGCTCTGCTCCTCCCACCCAGCTTAAAAGACGCTGCCAAGCTTGGCAGTGTTCACTGACAGTTCTGTTTCTTCACCTGAGGAAGGCTACTTGTGTTGTGGCCGAAACGTTGTGAGAATTTTATTTTTATTATTTTATTTCCATTCTACGTGACTTTACCGAAAGAACCAAGAAGATAAATCCATGGGTCTTACCAATATTCAGGCTGGTGTTGTGTATACCTTGTGCCACACAGGGACAACTGCTGCTGGGATTATGGGTGGGGGGGGGACAGTAGGTTCTCCCAGGCTAATCTGCAGCAGCACATTTAAATGCTCGAGATTACCTATGAGTGATATAAAACGTTTATTGCCTCGTCTATCAAACAAACCTTTACGTCCTTCCCCTCTTGTCTGTGCCCTCATCTCCTTTGGTGCTCTGTGTTGCTTGGCTTGTGACAGGCGCAGCTGTTGCAGATGTACCAGGAGAAGATGTTTCAGGTTATGGAGCAGGTGGTGGTGCAGAACCAGCGGCACCTTGAGGAGCAGCTATGCTGCTTCCGCGAGAAAGTGCGAGTGCTTAGAAGCGTCATAGGGAAGGTGCGTGTACATGGTGGAAGTGTTTACCCAGGCTACCGTGGGCTCGCCTCCCATCAACGGGAGGCATGGAATGGTGGTGGTGGTGGCTTATACCCCCACTGAAGATAAACATCATTGGAGGGATGCAGGCAAGGCCAAGGATTTGGGTATTCTTGGCCACGGTCACGCCCTCTCTATGCTTGCTAAACCTGGTCCCCCCAATGGAACATCTGTGCCGGTTAGAAACATTCAGGCTAGCCTGCCTACGATCCATCCTGGAACTAGGCTATATTCTGTGAGCTCACAAATCCTTGAAAGATGTGGACACATTGCCATAGGTGAGCTCCTCCAGCAGGCAAGGCTGCATTGGCTGGGGCACGTAACCCGCATGCCAAGCCACTGCATACCCAAACAGCTTTTATTTGGCCAGATAGAGGGGGCTAAATGGACGCAGCACAGGCTAGAGAAGAGATGGACTAATGTGGTACAAGAGGATATGCGGCTGAGTGGATTTTATGCCGACTGGTTCCAGCGGTGTCAAGATCAGCCTCTGGATGATACTCATTGAACGCTACTGGACAGTTGGAGCAGTCACCCTCCAGCAACAACGGAGGGCAGAGGAGCAAAACTCGAAACAACGATTGGAGTGCCAAGTAGCTAAAACACAGCAATTTAGCACAGTAGGGGGCACAGGTGGTGCATCTGCCGGTCATTTCAGTCAACCCGTGGCACCTGGGTCTGTCCCTTGATCTGCCAGCGAGCCTTTGACACTTCATGTGGCCGTAAAGTGCACCTACAACAACTGCTATTCATCACTTAGTGGTGAATGGAAGTTGTTATCTACGTGACTTTACCGAAAGACCCAAAGAATATGGTGAATGGCAGTTGTTGGTTTTTACTCATCGCGATTGCTCACCTAGAACAGCTTTGCAGAGTCTCATTTAGCAGACGGGTCCTGCCGAGTGTTTAGCAGTTGGGGGGGGGGGGGGGGTGGGGGGTGAGCGATAATTGCAGCTGCTGCGCTTAATTTCAATCCAATAATTACCGTGGTGTAATCCTTGTGTTGTTTTGACTTTTGCAACGTTGGCGCAGCGGCTTAACTCTTACCGAGTGCCGTCACGGGATCTTTCACGACCACTGCGAACGAAACAGACGGCGCGGTGGTAGCGTTAATGCGCACCGCCACCGCCGTGGTATTAACCGGGGCGGCCTGTGGGATTTGAGCTACGAATCTCTACCGTCGCACACCCTCCTCTCCTTCTCACGCAGGACGAGAATCCCGGCGACAACACGGACGCCGGCACGGACGCCTTCTTCGCGCGACTGGTCACAACCTATGCGCAGATGGCAGAATCCAGGCGGTCGACCAATGACGCGGGGGGGGAGGGTGACACGGGAGGTTGGGGAGAGGCCCACGCCCAGGAGGGCCCCCGCACCGTGCTTTTCACTGACCATGAGGAGGAGGGGCAGGAGAACGATGCTGGGTCCCCGCTCAGCCTGGGCCTACAAGACAGACCCACGGTGGATATGCAGACCCTGCAGGACGTGACGATGGATGTGCCGGTGGCGGAGTATAAGGTCGTGGAGGTTCCCTTAGAGGAGATAGACCCCCTTCCCCTGCATGATTAGCCATCCCCCCCTCTCATACGATTAACATTTGTGCACTAGTAGCATCTAAATGCAAGCACGTCTCCAAACACTTCACAGGGGGAAAGATTGTGTATATGTATAGCAATGTATAAATATATATTACGATATATATCTACATGAAAACTAATGGGGAGTTAAGTCTTGACTTCAACCAGGGCAGGAATGGAGTTTCAAGTGGTGTGGAGTTGCAGAGACGAAGATAATTCCCAGGCTCGCACACATGCGTAGGGAGCGGTAGTGTTAAGGTTAGCGCGCTGTGCTTTTGTTCTCAGCATGTTAATGCATGGCTCACAGTAGAAGTGAAACGTTTAGGCTGTCATCTGCCTGTACACTCGGCATGCTCACAATGTGTGGGAACTACAATTTATAATCTGGCTGTATTGTAATGGGATAACTCATGCGGCTACTCGAGATGCTATGTTTAACATATAAAACATATACTGGACATTAATGAACCAAAGTTAAGGGGAATTTTAACACGTAGGCTTTCGCGACCAATATTCATAATAAAAGTTTTTGGGTTAGATCGCGTTATTTATAAATGTGTCGTAACACTCCACCACCCGACACGGCCAATCAGCAAAAAAAAGTGTCACGTTGACAAAAGACAAATAATTCACTACTTTAGCCCACCGGTGTGTTGAGTGAATCCACAACATTTACAGTTTGAGTACTACGTTTCGCTGGTAATTACATCCAGCATCATCGGGCAATTACAATACCCCCCCTCCACCTCAAATCACTGCACCTGAAATGAGTTAAATGATGATGTCACCCTGCTGCTCTATTTAAAACCGGGAGCAAGCGAGGGCTTTACCATTCTGGCGAATTTCCCGATGATGCTGGATGCAATTACCAGCGAAACGTCGTACTCAAACTGTAAATGTTGTGGATTCACTCTTCAACACACCGGTGGGCTAAAGTAGTGAATTATTTGTCTTTTGTCAACGTGACACTTTTTTTGCTGATTGGCCGTGTCGGGTGGTGGAGGGTTACGACACATAAATAACGCGATCTAACCCAAAAACCTTTATTATGAATTAAGGGGAATTGTGAGGGTGGGATGAGTTATAACATGGCTACTTAATGCCACGCATCCACTCACCGCCTCAACCATTCACTCATCCATCCGCTCACCAGCTCAACCAATCAATCACCCACCCCACTCAGTCACCCGCTCAACCATTCACCCACCCAACCACTCACCCACTCAGCTGCTCACCCATGCACCCACTCACCCGCTTACTCACCCACTCATCCATTCCTTCACTCGCCCCATTCATTCACTCGCCCAATCACCCACTCACCCATCCAGCAATTCACCTACCCACTTCCTCACCTGTTGGCCTGGCATGGCACACAGTGTGAGTGCAAGTGGTCAGCATTATGCCAGGAGGCTGTTATATCTTCAATATCAATGTTAACCCATGAATCCACCTGTATATAATCTGTCTGGCTCCTGAAGACATTCATTTAAACATAATTCAGCAAACACTAGCAAAGCGTGTTAATATAACTCTGTTTTTGCATATACATTTTAAGAAATGGACAAATGAATGTTCAATCGCAATTTGGAGGTGTGAATCCAGGCTCAGATTTCTCTTTCGCTGTTTTCGTATTCTGCCTTCATGCTTGTAAAAATTCCATAGAAAAAAAAACCCCAATTGTTTTATTTAAATCTCCAAGTTTAATTGGGTTAATGTATGTTGAACGTCTTTTGCATTTCTCTCGCACTGTGTGGCTAATAGAAGGTGCGGGAATAGGTAAAACTTTACACTCGCACTGGCACAGTGAACAAGGTGGTGGTGTGGTCAACCATGCCTGGCCACCATCTGCTCAACTGATGATCAATAAATCTGATGAAGGCCCACAATAAGTTCAGCTATCACTTTTCAATAATATTTGCTGTCGGCAACAAACTGTCAGGTTCATAAGGGAGTGTATCAACAAGTCCACCACCGCTCCCCACACATACACTTCCGTACGTATACATTTCACGCGTGTCGGTAACAATATAAATACAATGGCAATCATTAGCTTCTCATTGGATGTGATGCCATTTTGACTTAACTTTCGTGACTGAAGGAATTCATATTCTTGGTTCTTTCGGTAAAGTCACGTGGATAGAAAATAAATAAAAATAATACAATAAATAGAAAATAATAAAAGCAAAAATCCACGACATTTCTATCGCAACACAAGCAGTCTTCATCAGGCGGAGAGAAAAGGGGGCAAGCCTCCAAATGCAACTGCTTATAAGGGCTTTCAAAGTGAGCAAAGCTGTGCGGCTTAAGCAGCATGGGCAGGGCAGCCAGCGCAAATGTAGGAGCAAAGCACCAGAAGTACAAGTAAAGCGAGTGCGTTAGACAATGGGGGAGGGAGGGGCAGAGACAGGGGGAGAGTGAGGAGGTAGAGATAGAGGTGGAGCTGAAAGGCGAGGGCGCAGTCCAAGTGTGTTAAACAATGGGGGGAGGAATAGGGGGGAGAGAGGGGGAGGGGGCATTGCACCTCGCGACACCCATCCACACTGCTGACGGTAGAGGTTGACAAGAAAACACAAATTAAGTCATGACCCAAAGTGGTTGATGACGTCTTACCAATGATTGTTGAGTATAAAACCGTCGTCTCGGTTGAAATTGTGTGTATATATGGATGGCTTTGTGAACGAATCGTTGTTGATAGGCAGTCGGCTTGCAAAGTACCATCGTCTTAGAGAAATCAATTTCACATGAGCCAGCCGAATTAAAGTAATGATCAGCCAAGGCAGAAGTATTGGTCCTGCCTTGTTTCAGATCTGCCTTATGTTCACGAACACGGTCTGAGACATGTCATTTAGTTTCCCCAATGTAACTGCTGCCGCAGATACAGCTTAGTTTATAGACGCCAGGATATTGCATGTCAGGAATCTTCACAAATGGGATCAGATCACGAATGTTATGCACTGTTAAATCGGACCTGGATCTTATCCTGTGTTCAAGGTTTTGGAAATCTTTTTGGTTACCCCTGCTATGTAAGGCAAGGTGATGGTTAAGATTGGATCTTCAGATGGCTCCTTCCTCACGGATTGTGTAGTCAGAATATTCAAACGCCTTGAGAGCCTGGTGTACGTGTTGAGTTCACTGGTCAGATGTTCATGGTCAGAGATACATTGAGCTCTATGGTGTAGCGTTTTGATGAGGGAATTCCTCTGGAATGGATGGTGGTGGGAATCCGGTTTTAGGTAGGCGTCAGGGTTACTTTCCTGTAAACAGAGTGGCTCAATGAGCTATCTGGTCTCTTTTTGATTAAGACATCCAAGAAAGGTAGCATGCCATCCTTTTGTACCTCCATGGTGAATTTGATTGCTGGATGTATGGAATTGATGTAGTTGAGGAATTGTTTCAGAGCCGGTCGGCCATGTGGCCAGATGACAAACGTGTCATCCACGTATCTCTTCTATCTACGTGACTTTACCGTCATTGCAGCCCCCCCCCACCCGAGTTCCACCCCTCCCCCAGTTTTGTGCTGTTTGTTGTGGGAAAAGGGAGGCGACACTCCGGGAGAGTGGGGCAAGGCTGAGTGACAGGAGGGCCACGAGAGACGGCCATCAGCACGGCACGACCGCGTGGTCGCCTTAAATGTAGTGTTAAGAGGATGGAACTCGAGGCAGCCGCCCCCATCCACCTCCAGCACGTTCTGCTGGTGCAGCATGCGAGTGAGTTGGTTAAAATGTGGGTTGGTTAATATGGTTAAGTGTTTTATTTGCAAGAGCCGATGGTTCTTCGTTTTGGTCAACTGCACTGAGCGGCTGTGTTCTGGGAGCTCGGGTGGACTGGACTGCTTCACGAGGGGTTGAAGAGAGGACATTTAGGACCCACCCCTCAATTCGGATTTTTTTTTTAATAGATGGTGTGGACAAAATGCTATTTTTTACTATTAACATCCAATGGAGGTAATACAATCAAGTCACGGGCAAATGTACGTATTGATTTGTTTTTTACGCAAACTGGAGTGAAAATGCAAGCAAAACTTTTACAATATATTAGAAGTTTCACTTGAGATTATATCCAGCATCATCGAGTGTAATTAATTGGTTTATCCCTGGCGAGATAAACGAATTAATCTGGCGAAATGAACTAATTCTGATTCGATTACAACGCTGTTCATTAGACGCGTATAAGCTCCAGCCATGTTTATTACAAGTGAAATAAAATTATATGGCAGCGCCAGAACACGAATTTTCAACTGTGCATCATGATGCCAGTTTGTTATCTACCCGCCAGACGAATCCGGTCTTGTGTTGCAAAATACACGCACACCCCAAGCACACAGTCGTATGTTTTATATGTGAGCTGCACTAAAGTGGCTCAAGAACTTGTACTTTGGTGTCGTCTGTTTAATACACTGTGATGTCACGTCAGGTTCAGGTGACTGAAATAATTCCATGCTTCTGTAATCAATCACAGCGACGATCTCTGACTTGCGTCTTTATTTATTTCTTTAATGGGTGGACAGCTCCACGTTCCATTCCCCAAAATCACTACGTTCTTCGTTGCGTGGCGTAAGTTGGCGTATGGCTCGCTTGCGCTTCCCGCTCCTGCGCACCGCTGGCTGACGGCACACAAGGAGACAACCCCCCGGACCGCCACGTGGCCGCTGGCGTTCCTAAGGCGCGAGACATGGTCCCGCTTCAAGACTTACCACACTGACCTCGAGCCTCTTCCTGCTTCCCCTTATAACCCTCTGACGTGGAGCCAAGCCCCGCCTCTAGCCACGCCCATTCTAGAACCTTCCCTATGGTTCCCTGCGAGCACCCCTGAGCTCCGCCCTTGAACTTTGGCCCAGATGATCCCACTCAATCCTGATTGGCTAATGGTTGATGCAGCGGAGCCTATCCAGCCGGTCGACGACCGTCGGTGTACTCTCTTATTACACTTCTAAAAATTACAAGTAAATATATATGTTCACCCATTGAGTCTCATTGTCTCTTGCATCATTTCTTATTGTGGCAATGTTGACATGTTCACTGAAATGTGCCACATGCCTCGTATTTAGATTTGTATGTCCACCCCTTATGGGCTCTCACCTGTTTATAAATGACTTCATTATTTAATTGGTATTAAAAAGTTGGCATGCCTCTGTCATTGACTGAAATGACCCCATGTGATTGATGATTGGATAAGTGGTCTGAGTGAACTTGCTCTGTCTTGAGGGAATGATGTAACATGTGTTCCAGAGCACTGTCACAAGAAACACCTTAGATTAAAGCATTTGGCTACTTTTTACGTGGCAGAAGTCAACAAATTATCTAGAATAGTTTCGACTGATTTTTATAGAGTTGTAATGAGAGCGCCATTGCCTGGATTATTCATGGGGCACGTATTTCATTCTACAGCCATACTTATCCATAGTGGGGTTTATATTTTGGTGGAAGTTGAGAGGCGGTTCCACCAGGGAGGCTTCGGGAACGTTCGGGAAGGTTCCTGAAGGGGTGTGGCCAGAGGCGGGACTTAGACCCGGGCTGGGGGATATAGGGGGACACGGAGCAATGCGAAAGGGTCGGTGTCGAAGACTGAAGAGGAACCCT